CTAAGTCTGACATTTTTGTGTTGGATGGATGTGGAAATAAAAAGTTCACAAAGAGACAAAGCACAAAGACTACAACTAGAGTTGTCATCTTCAAAGGGAAATGCAAATGCTTGAGTTACCTGACAGGCCATGGTTTCTACACTATTCTTTCTGTACTGGACTACATCATTATTAAATGCATTAGCATAAAACCTACCTTTCTGCTAGTTTATCACACTTTAAGTATAAATGGCTTTCTGCAAAGGAGCACAGATGGAATATTTGAAAATGGGGACCGAGACAGAAATAATCAAGGCTGTCATTACAGAATGCCCAAGCTTATAAAGCCACATTGAAATCGAAATGAGTATTAAAAGTCTTTGCGATAACTCTCAAAATTTGTATCCGATCAATACCTCTTTTTGTGTATCTGTCCATTTTCTGCTTATCCAGTAGAAGGTGGGGAATCCTTTCCAGGCTAGAAGAGGCGCATCATCCTCTTAACAGGCTGTGGGTCTGACCCAGGGTCTCTTCCCATGTGAGGGACCTCGGAGACATCTTGATCGGATTCCCAAACCAGATCAATCACTCTTTTTGATGTGCAGGAGCAGTGGCTCTACTTCAAGTTCCTCCCAGATGGTTTAACTCCTAATCTTTACCTCTGAGGCTGAGCTCAGTGACCCAATAAAGGGTTTTCTATTCAGCATCACATCCTTTCCATCATGATCCATATGCTATGACCACAGGTGAGAGCTCACATTAATACTGATGAGGGTACAATCCATCCCAATCCATCTGTTTCCCTATTCTTCTATGACTCCTAAACACAACACCAAGGCACCTGATTTTCTTTCTTGATGTAAAGAAGGACCCTGGAGGAGGCATTTCATCTGTTTTCCTTTAAAATTAGTCAGTCCTTAGACTTTGAGTAGGTGACTCTCGCATTCAGTTACAAACTACTCCAGTGCGCAACATATTCTGCAAACAGCAATGATGAAACCCCCAGAAACTAGTTACTCTTCACTCTTGGACTAAAACTCTGAATATAACACTCCACAGATAAAGGAGTTTAATTATTTGTACAATTAAATAAAAGCTCCTGTGATTAATGTTTGAAAATGATTAAAGCAAAAATGTGTGTTTTAGTCCATAGTTTTCTGTGAAAAAATAAAAAGACAAAATAAAGACTGATGTTGTGAAAGAAACTGATGAATAATCTAGATAAATAGTTGAAAATCTGTATCCACAGGCTGTTTAATATTGCACTCTTTTCAGCTTATACATTATGTACAGTTTATCCATTCCAAATTCTTACAAGGAGATATTTGTGTGTGGAATTTTGAGGAAAGATATTTATTTAAAAGAATTTGGAATAAAGCTGTGCGGAAAAATGAACCCTTGAAAATACTTTCCGCTTGCACTGTTGTGTCGTCAACTTTGAATCTGTCTACATGACAGAATTCAATTTTATTTAATTTTTTAAAGTACCTTCAAACACTATTTGTTGTAAATTGGGTTTGTTAAAATGAACTGAATCAGTCAAAACTGAACAGTTCATCTTTCATCTGCTGCATGTGGGAAGTCTGGTGCAACATGACAAAGTCAGGGAGAGCTTCTGTAAAACAAAAGTGTCTCTCTTTGTGTACTTAAGGCACTAAAGACCTTTTTCTTTCTGTCTAACCTTGTTACTCACATCATCACCCCGGTCTTGGTCTATCTCAGGGGCAACAGGCTGTGACAGCTTGACTTGCTGTGCTTTCATTCAGAATATTTTTATTTTATTTTTCTCTACCAGTGTGTGGCGAGGCTTGACAACTTGGAGTATACATTGTCAAGTGCTGTATCTAAAAAAAAAATAAAAAACAAGGTTTGAAATATCAGTTTATGTAGCTTTTTAGCTGCATTTCCCATTTACCTCCATATCCTTCAAATGTAAGGCCATCTGTAGAAGGTCCATCTGTCGAATTGTCCTGGGTCACAAACAGGACAATTATTCACTGCAGAAAGCAAAAGAAAAGGAATCAACCTGGTGGGAATGATGTTATGGAAGCTTAACAGACATGTAAAAAAAATGCCTGCAAACCTCAAAGAAATTATTCAAATCCTCCTCACAACGATGTAAAAGATAGTTAAGACCATGTTCAAGATGACTTTTTCACTAAAAGTTTTTCCAAATCATATGCATTATTTTTTCTCACTAGTATTAAAAAGTTGGAATCCATTGTGTGTTTTGGTATTCACAAACCTGGCTTACAAAAACAAACAAACAAAAAAAACTTTCTAGGATAAGACCAAGAAAGAACAGATTCATATCTGTTCTTGAATTCCTTAGATTGGATCGTAATCTTTTACTTTTTTGAGATCTTCTAGTCATGTTGTCAGGGTACTGATAAGGTTATTCTTGAATTCTACAGTTCTGGAAGTAATCAAGCAAGAGAAATTAAACTTAACAAAAAATGTGAATTCATAATTTACCAGCAGGAGTCATTATGTTTTCCAACAGTACCAGATTTCCCATGATAAATGAAATCATAATTTGAAAACTGCTTTTTTTTTATTTACTAGGGCTATCTTTGATGTCAAAATTTGCTTAATCATATGAAACAAATAAGTGATAAAAAAGAAGAAATAAATCTGCAGGAGAGGGAGGTAAGTACTTTACCCTGCAATTTTGTTGGAAATAGAAGAGAGATTCACTTTTTCAGTAAAAGCAGAAAAATTTGTCATAAGTAAATTGCCCTGTCGTCATGTACAAGATGTAGTGTGTGCAAATACAATATTAAACAGCATAAGAATCACAACCTTTCATATCAAAAACAACAAAAGAAGATATTTCTTCATAAACAAAACTAATATTTACCTTTAGGAAGAGAGAGACCCAGTTAAAGTGATGCTCAATGAAATCATTCAACATTTTTTAAAGAATATACAGCCTCACCTCGCCTGCCGTGACTCGCTGTGCTTTCAAAATGTCTGGACTACACTCACTATAAGGAAAGCAACAGCCTGACATGGTGTGGAATATTAGCTTTAAAGTCCTAATTTCAGCTCTTGGATGTACGGAGGTCAGATATTGCGGAGTCATGGGTCGGTTAATAGCTCTCATAGTTCTTTCAAGTGAAAAGGATGGTAATGTTACAAAGACGTGAAATGAAGATGGTTGCAATAAATTGTCAGTAATGACACCCCATGCCAGATTAGCAATCAGCAACCTGTAGAAAAGCCTGGTACAGCTGCCAATTCTTATAGACTCAACACAAGTCCAATCACACTTCCTCACACAGCAACTCTTGATTATAATATAGTTGTCAAGCTAGAACATACAAATATGAGCTAATATTGCATGTTTGCTATTATGTTTACTCTAGTGGTTGTGCTAACAGATTTGACTATCATCTTGCACACTTGCTTTTCAGTAACACTTGATACAAAGACCCTTTTAATGCATCAAGGAATGTTATGAAAGAAACCTGACTTTGATGCCTTTTTAATATTTTCACACTGCTACAATCCAAGTCAAATACAGGGCAATATATATATATATTATATATATATATATATATATATATATATATATATATATATATATATATATATATATATATATATATATATATATATATATATATATATATATATATATATATATACATATACATATATATATATATATATATATATATATATATATATATATATATATATATATATATATATATATATATATATATATATATACACACACACACACACACACACACACACAAGTCTTTAATTAGCTTTTTTTTTAATGCAAAGCTTTTCAAGAAGTCTAGACAAATATCTGTTTTGTGAAGAATTAGAAGTCAAAAAATTTGCCTGCAGCACAATGTATGTCTATTTTTAGTCACGATTTCTATTTTAAAAAGGAACTCCAACATTCAGAGGCTTTTTAATTTGGAAAACAAATTTAATAAAAACGCAGTTTCAGAGAAACTGCGTTTTTATTGCTGAGAAAGGACAAAAGAAAGGAAAAAATCAGACAGGCAGGAATAACAACAACAACAAAAAAAAAAACACACCAAATGTTGAATTTGCATGGTACTTGCTGAAGACATAACCAGTTTTCCATTCTTATTTTGGTTGATACGTAATGTTTGCCTGAGTCTTTGCAAAGTGGCTGATTGTCAGAGTAACTGAAAAATTATAGGGTGGATAAGAGAGACGTAAAAAAAAAAAAAGATAATAGATATCGGCTCTCTGATGGCAGCTCGTATTCTTGGCCCTAGTTTATCTTCTCTTCAGTATTTTTTTTTTAACGATATATGAATAATAAAATTGAACAGATTACCAAATAATGTTTGAAAGTTTCAGTTGTTAACTTTGAAAAGATAATAAAAAATAACCACAAAGAGAGAGAGAGAGAGAGGTTAACTTTTAAATTGCAACAAACAGTTCAAGTGGTCAGATCATATCTGTGAAAGATATTTACAAATCTATAGTTTGATCAATAATTAAACATATAAACAGTCAAATTAAAAATATTATAGAAATAAAGTGATTTATACGTTTTAATTTTTTAAGCAAATTAGTTAAAGCTTTGGACGGAGCAGAATTCACATTTGTATCTGTCGGAAAGTATTTTCCATTTACTCATATTTTGTAATCTACCTGGTCTACATCAGTATAAAAACAAATGTAGCTATTGTCCAGAGCCTAACCTTAAAAGTGAAGACTTGGGGCAAGATGGGATCTTGAATATTAAAAAAAAAAAAAGGACAGTTTTATATCTTTGTTATGTGTAGTACCTTATTTAAACATGTTCGACATATGCTTACTTTATTCCTTAGTCATCCAAACAAATAGTTGTGTCTACAAATATGTAGTAAATAAGTTTGTTGTGTCAGATTCGTGGTAGCTCTGGTACCGGGAGCCAGGTCTGTTTGGCCCCAGAGCGCGTGAGGGCCGCCAGCAAGGGGCGCTTTTCAGCTCCAGCTGAACCGGTGGTGAAAATGTCCACAGAGAGGATCGAGTTACTCTACGCCCCATCTTTAAGCCCCGGTCAGTGCGCCGTTAGCCGCAGGACAACAGAGGAAGACTGGGAGTCTGGGAGAGAAACAGCTCTACACTCATGTAAGTGACTCGCTGAGGACCATTTTCGCTTCAGAAAACGTCCACAAATGTTTGGAGAATGATATTTGTAGCGAAATACACGTAACGCCTTTGTTCGTTGCAGTGTTAGCTAATTAGAAGGGAAATAATGGGACGTCTGTTGCCGCCGTTCACTGTCGGGAAAGGTCTGTTTTGACAAGTTAAAACCGGTTTTATGCTTTTGTTTCAAACGTAAAGCGTGCTACTTTGGCGTAAAATAGCGACCGCAACCGCTGTTCTGCCTCCAAATCCCCTGTACTATCAAACTTCTGCTCGGAAAGCCTGTTGCTTTTTCACTCCATGGAGAGATGGGGAGGAAGGAGCAGGAGGAGGAGTTGAAGAAAAGCGGATTGACCTAGACGAGTCTGTATTCAAAACACTAGCAAACATCGACTGGATTTACAAGCACTACTAACCAAATTAAGGCATGACGTACTCATAACCGTGACTTTTCCGTCTACTCTTTTCGCCATGGCGCGGCACAGCTCCCACCAGACCGTAGATGTTACATTTAGAGACATTTATCGCCTCCCCCCAAAACTCCTGACGTGTCTGTGGTTTAAGGCTCTGGCGTTTTAAAGTTAAAAGCTTTGTCAGACATTGGGTGAATCATTACAAGCCACCCCAAGGGTGAAGCATTTCCAGCTTTATTGGAGAAACACGGCTTCTCTGCTTGCAGTAAATGTCAACATTCTTTCACATGCTATTGAAAAAAAAAACTTTTTGTTTCATTATTGTTGTAAACACATGGCTGGGAGGTCAGAGTGCACAAAGATAGAAAAAAAAGTCAAAGAAATATACTGTGGAGAACAACCTACAGCTCTATATCTCACCTGCTATAGAGCTTGCAGTTATCTGGCCCCAGTTGCCTTTTTCTTGTGATGTGTCTCTGAGTCATGCCTTAACAAAGTCCTTTTGTTAAGTCTATTACAAGATACATTGCAGAAGAGTGGATTATCATCCTTTAAACGTTCTTACAATTTGTCACCATGCAAGCACAAACATCAATGCACAGTGGAGCTCTGGTATTGGTGGGAGCTGAGGAGCAACACTGCTCACCAAAAGCTAAAATCAGCTAGTAGAAAATGCCTACAACCGCTTAATTTAATAATTCATCGCTAAATATACATTAAATATGCATTAATATGCACAATGGAAACTGCGTTAGAAGCTAACATCTACAGTCTTCTGTTGTTGGTAGTACAGCTAGTCAGTCCTAAGGAAAATAAATGGCACTCCTAGATTGGCTGCTTTGCAAATGCCAGTCTGCAGTGTGTCAGATAGCGTTGCTCCCAGGTATTTTAGTTTCCAAAGCTGTATTCCATTCAGAATATTTGACTACATGAATAATTAGGAGTCACATTGCACAGAAAAAAATATATGAATAATCAAGAGTCCACACTGTAAAGTAAAAAAAAAGTACAAACTACATAATTTAATATTTCTTTCCAAATGAAGAGATGGGACTAAATACATGAAAATCCTGGGGGGGAAAAAGCTGTTAGATGCACTAATCCCCAACATACAATCATCACTACAATTAAAGAGTTTAAATCAAGTCTTACTAATGTGATAGAGTGGCCTAGTCAAAGTCCAAGGATGAGCCAAATTGATATTTGACAAGAATTGAAAATTGTTGTTCATTATCACTCTCTATTCTGAGATATATATATATATATATATTATATATATATATATATATATAATATATATATATATATATATATATATATATATATATATACATTATAATATATATATATACATATATATATATATATATATATATATATATGGTAGGATTTACTGATATATATATATATATATATATATATATATATATATATATATATATATATATATATATATATATATATATATATATATGTAATAAAAAAATTCCCTTCTCACCCACCGCGGGTGGTTCTTATCCTCTGAGCTCGGGTCCTCTACCAGAGGCCTGGGAGCTTGAGGGTTCTGCGCAGTATCTTGGCTGTGCCAAGGACTGCTGCACATTTCTGGACTGAGATGTCTGATGTTGTTCCTGGGATCTGTTGTAGCTATTGCTCCAGTTTGGGGGTTACTGCCCCGAGGGCCCCGATGACCACAGGCACCACTGTGGTCTTCACCTTCCAGGCCCTCTCCAGTTCTTCCCTGAGGCCCTGGTATTTCTCCAGTTTCTCGTGCTCCTTTTTCCTGATGTTGCAATCACTTGGTATTGCTACATCTACCACAACGGCTTTCCTCTGATGTTTATCCACTACGACAATGTCTGGTTGGTTTGCCATTACCATTCTGTCTGTCTGGATCTGGAAGTCCCACAGGATCTTAGCTCTGGTATTTCTCCACCACCTTACCTTTTCCCACTTTGATCTCGGGGTTTTCCAGTCCATATTCTGCACAGATGTTTCTGTACACTATGCCTGCCACTTGGTTGTGTCGTTCCATGTACGCTTTCCCTGCCAGTACCTTGCACCCTGCTGTTATGTGCTGGACTGTCTCAGGGGCCTCCTTGCACAACCTACACCTTGGGTCTTGTCTGGTGTGGTAGATCTGGGCCTCTATTGCTCTGGTGTTTAGGGCCTGTTCCTGGGCGGCCAGGATGAGGGCCTCTATGCTGTCCTTGAGTCCAGCTTTTTCCAACCATTGGTAGGATTTACTGATATCAGCCACTTCGGTTATTTGCTGGTGGTACATCCCATGTAGGGGCTTGTCCTCCCATGATGGTATCTCTGGCACCTCAACAGCTATAAAACAGCAACTGTTATACTTCAAAACAGTTGCTGTTACGGAAGACAAAAACTTGATTTTACAAAGTTGTGACTCCGTGGAGGTTATGTGTCATTTTTCTTCCAATTCAGAGGAGAGCTCTATCACTGTAATGGCCTTGCATACAAAATAATAAAATACATTTTAGTTTCTACTAGTAATTCAACAAAATGTCAATATCTTTTGACATTTTGAGGTTCTTAGGGATACTAATACTTTTATCTAAAGCCAGTTCACAAAACATACAAAGACATGTTCTTCTCTAATGCAGCATTTCCACTGAGCAGTACGTCATAGGTCGACGTTTGGTACGCTATTTCACAATTCAGCGTATTCAGGAGAACTTTTCCAGCACCACCTGGACTCTCATTGGTAAGGCAGAGTTAAACCCGAATGAATGCCTGACGTGTCTTACAAGTGAGACGACGAGTAAGACACTTGTCGTCTCACGAGTGTCTTACTCATGAGACAACAAAAGTGACGCAGATTACGCCTCGTGCTTGTAGTGAGCAGTGACATCTACCTGTTCCCTTGTCAACTGACTGTATTTTGTGACCACAGTAGCACCACCCTAACGGTTTGACCCCGGGAATGTTGTGGTGTAGTGGGGTTGTATTGGCGTCTTAAAGGAAACAGATAAAGTAGTGTACCGGACCAAATCAGCTAGAACGATCTGAACGAGACAAACTATCATCTGTCTTTTACGGTTGCTTTTCAAGTAATGCAAAAGCATACTTAGACTTCATATTTGTAGGTTTTCAAAAATTGTTCATTGTTTCACATTTATATGGAAAGGTTATTCTTATATGATATTTAGAACAATAGCTTAAGAGAACACAGCACTCTTGAATTGTGAAATGAAAGTTAGGAACTCTCTGGTCAAACATAAACACCAATGCAAAAAGTCTAATTAAATATTACCTCTCAGATTAAGACACATTAAAGTACCTCATTTGTTCACTACAGCTTTTTATCATGTACTCTTGCTTTACTTTGTTTTCCTGACCTGATAACAAATTACTCAAGTTTGTGGGATTTAAATATGTTCCTGGTTTGCAAATCTTCTATGTTTACTATGATGAGTCATGATAATAAGTAATTTCAGTTCCTCATCTTCATTATGCGTCCTATGAGACAACAGACTCGGCAAACAGAACCATCTCTTAGCCTGAAGAAATGTCAAGCTGTGGTTATTTTCCCAGAAACTGTGGGAGAAAAGCTTGAGCAGGAGGCTGGATTCATCACGAGTCGGGTGTTACCTTGGTTTCAAAATAACTGATAAAACCATTAGCCTTCGTAGGACTCATGATGATAAGAATGTTCTGTTCTGTAAACGTGAACATGCAAACGTCTGATAAGATCAAATGTGTTTATTCCACTTTTTAACATTTTTGACTGACTGAGGTGTAAGAAATGTAAATTACCTGGCTTTAAATTATCTACAGAAGATTAGTAAAACAAAAACAAAAGTTTGCTACAGCAGAAGTGCTCTCATTCAGACTAATCTTTATTGCAAACATTTTTTCTGTTTTTCTGTTGGTGACAGTGTTGTGGAGGTTAAATCAATCTCCTTTTTCATGTGTGTAGTTCTTCAGTCAGGAATGTTCTTCCATTTAATCCAAATTAGCATCTGTGCTCCTATCATTAAAGTAACAGAAATGTGTGAACTTGTCCTCATATGATCTAATGTAGCGTGTTGATCATTTTCAGGCCTTGAAAAAGGGAGAAAACTTCATTCTCTCCTGGCGGCTAAAACATGATAGAAACAATTGGTAAGTTTCTCCTATTTCTTAATTCTGACTTGAATTATGCCCATAAGCTGCTACTGTACACATGCATGTTCTTTTTTAGTCTCAAGTTCATCTCTTATCAGTTAAATATTTCAAGTACTGCTATAAAAGCAGAATTCTGAGTCCACATGTGATTCTTCATTTTTACAAATGTGCAACTTTTGCTCAGTGAGTTACATTTCATGTTTTGTCCTTGCTCTGCTTTTCACATTTGACTCCTGCTGAGCCTCCTGAAGCCGTGTAAGATGCTCTGGCTGCAGTTCAAGACATGTGGATAAAACTGACTGCGTTGCCGTCTCGTACACTGTTGCGGAAAATGTTATTTGTTTGTCCTTTGAAAGATTCATTTGTCACACATGAAGGCAAATTCTTGCTGCCAACTTCTTTCAGTGAAAGCTGCCAATGTGCAGCCCAGGTTTTATTTAAATGAACTAATATTTATAATAAAGGCAAACCTCGCCATTACTTGTTTAGATGGGTTTAATCATTGTTTAGGTGTCTTAAGAGAATCAGATACCTTTTCCTTTAAATGGCTTGGCCAACAAATTCAACGCCAGAGCCCTTACTGCTGGTTCCTCTGACTTGAACCCAGGCAAAAACTCTCTCAAAACAAATTGTGTCTTTACTGTAATTGACTATAATACTAACCATTAAAAAAGCTCCTACTTCAGAGGTAAAGCAAATAAATTACTTTATTGTTGAATTTTAAAAGTCTTAAATTTCACCTCAATTTTGTGTTTTTATGCTGGAATTTTCTTTATTTAGAAGAAATAAAAGACTCGTGAATGATTGGCTCTGGGATTTAAAATAGTTGGAGATCATACTAAAAGATGTAATTCCTTGTCCTGAATGTACATGATTTTTTCTGTGGCTTAACAAACCATAGTGAGGTGCTCGAAAACATATTTTTGCATTGAATTTCAATGAGATTAAATGCGGTAGAGATAAACACACCATAGTTTATTGGTTGATTTTGCTTTGAACTTTTCACACATTGAAGTAGACAGAAATTTTGCTGTCGGAATTATTTGTAAAGTTTTTGAAAATTTGTTCAAAAGGTAGTATGCCATTAAGAGTCTTGAGAAACCACATTTTGTATAAAAGTGATTGTTCTGCTGCTCGGCCACATAAGCTAAAAGTTTAGTGAGGTTCTTTGTTGGTATATTTGACTCTAGATTCAAAGTTTGCCTCCAAAACAGAAATCTGTGCTTCCCTACTATTTTTAACGGCTACATGTCATGGGCTGATAGGAGTCTTCATTATCTACATTGAGGCAAAGATGATGAAAACGACACAGCTACGTGCTTCGAACCAGAAGCAAATAAGAACTAAATCTGTTCAAGCTCAAGTGTTATTGCCCTATTTGCGATCTTTGTTGCAACAACAAAGCTTCTCAGTTCAAAAAGAGCTGCAGACCATTGTGCGTGTCCTGCTTGGTGTTAGTCACAGTTGGTCAGCTACAGAAATTGCTTTATTTTTGCTCAGAAGACTGCTGGCCGGCTTTTTCGCGCTAACAAACCGCTCTGGAGTCGCTTGATTTGTGAAGCTTATGTAGGATCCTGCCTGCTTCTCTTATCTCTTCGTCCTGATAGCCATTCTCTGCTCCGAGTCAGACCCACTATTGACCCTAACAACAAGAAAAGGAAGCAGAGCTTTTCTGTCAAGTAGCAGAGCGTTGAAAATGGAGTTTTTACTTTTGTGCAAAACCTGTGGCGACATGATTTTGATACAGTAAGGTCTGTTAACCACCAATCAGCCTTAGCTAAGCCTCGTTTGTGGATGTACAGCTCCATCCATTCATTCTTGTGGGTTTCATGCATAAATAGATGTCAGAACTGCACAAGTAAAAGGAAAAAAAAAACACTTTTAAAGCATAATACCCTATATAAGAAAAGGAAAAAAAAATGTACATGTCTTAACTTCCCTTCCAGCATTCAAAGTCTTTTCTAATAAAGAACTGTCTCTCCCACGCCTGCTTCTTTCTGCCTCCACGCCTGTGCTTTGGCCGGCTCTGTCACTGAAATATGCGACGGCTTGCAGATACCCAGCGTGCCTTGCAGGCGGTGGAGCGTCTCCAGGCCAAACTGAAGGAACGGGGGGAGGTGCCCACAGAGGAGAAGCTCAGCCTGCTCAGATCGGTGCTTCAAAGCCCACTCTTCCACCAGATCCTGGCCTTGCAGAAGTCTGTCCAGCATCTCAGAGATCAGGTTTGATATGACCCCTGCAATACCTCCTCTGACCTTAATTTTCTCCATTTTTCACCGCTTGAGTTGGTACTGCAGCTTACTCGCCATTACTTTACTGCAGCATAAGAGTAATTATTACTTTCTCAGCACCCTGAGTCTTGAAACATTTCCTTTTTCACAGTCAGAAACATATTTTATAGTAATTTTAGTAATGATTGCTTTTCTCCATACATGGTTGGTGGAAAACTACAAACAGGACTTCTTATAGCTTTCTTTCAATGATGGCTTTGTTCTGCAATAATTAATTAAATTAGAAATACACACAGATGGATGATATTTGTTAACTTCAGTTCTTTCGAGGACTGAACATGTCCTGTCATCGGATTGTCCCACCATAACTCTAGTTCCTCCAGAGTTATCATAAGCCTTTCCTATGTATTCATAAGTTTACAGTGGTACCATGCTCTTTGCATTTAGGACAATTAGATTAAACAGTTCTCTATAAGCTTTTCAAAACTGGTTATAACATCTTCACCGTATTAACCCCAACCTATCTGGGTTGGGGTTGATCAGATCTAATCCAGTTGATTCTGAAGCCCATTGGTTGCACATTATTTTACTTAAAGGCATCAAAGGGGCCTGAAATGAATAAAGCACATCGAAAGTTGTGATTTAATATGGCAAAATGTGAAAATGTTCAAGGGAAATTAATCCTTTGCTGCCATTTCTTCTCTTTTTCTCCAAGTGGAGGATTAGAAGAGTTATTTAACATTTAATTGCTTTTGCCAACACTGAATGTGGGCCTCTATGTTTAATTAACTAGCATAATTCATATAGCTTTATATAAATAATGCTCAGATTCCTCACATTTCTAAGTTCTTCATATCAGTAAAATTGCTCATCACGGCAAAAACAAAGATCTGATGCTAAAAGAGGAACTGCTTGCAAAAACGTGGAAATGGCTGCTGAATGTCAGTCATTTTTTCCCAAGTGACCTCCATTTGGTCCATGTTGGAGGTGTGGACCCCGGACCTGATGGTCACTCTGGGGGAGTTTCAGAGATCTCAGAGACATGTCCAGAATTTTGTGATTCTACATTGCAGAATCACAAAATTTTCTTCAATAAGCAGTGACACCAAGGTTTACATCCCAGTTGCCAAGTGGAAGTTGTTCTTTAGTGAAAGCCAGAAAAAATGTCTCTCAGGACTTTCTAGAGTGTTACAAAAATGATTTTAAATTAATATTACACTGATTGGCTTCCAATTTTTGTGTTCTGTGTCACACACTCGACCAGTCTGATGATCCACTTCACACTTTTTGTACATTAAAGTACGGTGAAAGCAGAATCATGCTGATGATTGTCTTGTTTTGGAAGGTAGGAAAGAAGTATCCAAAGATAGGGCTTTTTACTTATCCTCCTACTGGACAATGATACGCCTTCTTGTGTCCTAGTTAAAGTGTATCTTATGTCTAATCATCTTTTATCTAAGAAGTTTTTTTTCAGGTGTAATCGGAACAAAATTTTCTTGACTTGTTAAAAAAAATTGACAAATTCAGTACAGAATATCAGAAAGATTTTATGTATCTCATCAAATGCCTGATTTCCTCTTCCTGTGTCTTTGCTGTTTTCACAGCAACCTCTTATTTAGTTTCTGCCTCACATCAAGACGCTGTGTTCCCCTTCTGCTTCCAGTCCTTATTTATCCCCAGTCCTTATTTATCCCCAGAAATTGTTTTTCTGTGGCCAAATTGCTATCAGGGTTCACACAAACCGTCTATGTGTGCAGAAATAGTTGGTACAAGTGGGAAAGTCATTTTTGTTCCTTTTGAGATGATTTTCCCTGCTGAGAGTGGATTTCAGTGGAAGTAAAGAGCTCTTAAGTCAAAGCAGAAAGGAACAGGGTATGTATTTGAGAAGCAGGAGAAAATATGCGAGCTATGCAGTGGGAGGCACTGGGATGAGAGAGCCACCCCCCATCCTACAGCATTTTGATCATAAAGTGCCTTGTAGCAATCCCTTTAAAAAAAAAAAAAAAGAAAAAAAAATGCTTTCGCGATTGAAGTTTCGCTCTTCATCATAGATTCCTTCCAGATCTAAAGCTGGACCACTTTTTTCCGAAGGCTAAAGGGACATATTTTAATAAAAGACGCAAATCTGCAAGTGTGTCTTCCATCTTTATATTAGATTCAAACCCAACTGTGCTTGTTTGGCTCCCTATAGCAGAAACAATTTAGAGAGGCATGTTGTGTTTTGTTCGGAGAAGAGAGCCAGACACAAAGGCATTCAGTTTGTCTTCTGGCTTCTGTTAGTTAGGGCTTGCTCGATCCATGTTGCCACAGTAACAGGACCCCAGCTCCTCAACGAGGAGGAGGCCTGCACTGCCACCGCCGCCGCTGCTGCTATGTGAAGTGGGGCAGAAACAATTTCTTAAATGTGCAAGAACCAAACTGGAACTTTAATCCTCTTAGCCGGGCCCCGGCTAACAAAGCTCGCACATGAGGACAGCAACTTAGCCGCGTGCTACACTAACTTACACCAGCCCGCAGGGTTTGGTTTGCAGCACTGATGCGTCCTGTTAAGTGGATTTCTGTTGCTTAGGACTAATCTGGGACTTTATTGATCTGAGACATTATAAACAAGTTCCAGATGCAAATTTGGGAAGCCAAAAGGGATAGCTTTAGTTTAAGTCCATCGTCTTGACGCCAATTTAAATCCTTTCGGTTAATAAAATCAGGAAAGCATTGTTTTGTACAGTTGTCTCATTTGTGCTTTTCATCTGCCGCACAGCTAAAAGTCGGCGCGCTAATTAAAACTCGAGCATATTACGGAATCCAGATGGCCTCTTTCCCCTCCCTGCCATGATAGAAATATTGTATTTGGAGCAGAGTCGTTGTTGGAACGTGGGCTAAGAGCCATTATCTCCTGAGGGATTAGATGGCCACAGATCCAGCTAATCGTGGTGGGATAACAAGCTATCCACTGTCCCAGTGGTTTTAGGCTGCCCACATTCAGAAGCTTATTCTCTAAAATTAAACTCTTTAAATGTTTAAATGTTTAAAGAGTTTAAACCTCTTCGCTCAGTCGTGCTGAGCGAAGAGGTTTTTCCGTAAAATGTAGGCTTTTATTGCATTAACTTCATACAGTTAACATTTGACAAAGTTTTAGGTATTTAAAAGAGAGACTTAAACATTGCAGCATTTATATATTATGTTTTTCTTTATAACTTGATGTGTTTTGTGTTATTTAATGGATGCCACTTTTCTCAATATAGCACTTCACAAAAGATTCCACACCTGTTTTACACTTTCTTACACTACAACCACAGATTTCAGTGCATTTTCTATTAATTGCATATGAGATAGACCAACACAAAGCAGTAAATTAGGGATGAAGTGGGAAGAAAACTCACAAAGATAAATCTGCAGTGTGCGGTTTGCATGTATATTTTTCCTTAAAGTCAATACATTGCAGAATCACCTTTCTTTCCAACTAGAGCTGGAAGTCCTTTGTGACATGTCTCTACTAGCTTTGCAAATGTAAAGACTGATGCTAAGTACCGGTAGCTCAAACAGTCAGATTGTATCCATATTCCCATCCTTAACTTGCCTGCTGTGCTCCTTTGTCTCCCTGATGTTTTTTCTTTTATAAAAGCGTCTAGAAAACCACTGAGACCTTCATAGAACAACTGGAAGTATACCAAGATGAAATTAGAAAGATTGACTCAGTTTATCAATTAGACTGGCTTTTTACAGGCAATAATTTGCTTTGGATTTTCTCTATTGGTACCAAATTAAAGGGCATATTTGTATAATTTTTATTTCAATTTACCAGTTTGTATTGTTTTTTATTGAAGTAAGTGGGGCAAAAAGTGACAGAGAACCTACATATTCTTTGCATTGCAGGGTAGCAGCACATCATCCAGAGGAAGTGACCTCAATGATCACAACATCAAAGCCTACTCGGATGACTCAGCAACTTCACATATCAATGGGAAAACCTCTTTGGAAGAATTTGAGGGCATTATCCACTCTATGGCTCAGGTAAAATCACAAGAAGGGTGTAATTTTGCGCAAAAAGAGAATCAGCCCCAACATATCTCTCAGAGTTTTAATTTTAAATTAATGTATTTGTGTTTGGATGACAAAGGGTCGCTATGTGACGAATGTGGAGCTGCAGAAACCAGCGTCAGGGGGTCTCGGCTTCAGCGTGGTGGGGCTAAAGAGTGAGAACCGTGGAGAGCTGGGAATCTTTATTCAAGAAATTCAACCAGGAAGTGTTGCTTACTGGTATGTAAAAAAAACTGTAACCATGGCAGGGTTGAAACACTTTCAGTACATATTCAAAAATGATGGATGTTTAGTCAAATTTTGCCGGAATTACATAGTTAAAATAATACATTTGGTTTAGACACTATTGATTCCATTGAATTTATCAAGATTAGTGTAATCCATCCAGTTTTGAAAACTGGAAATTTGTGTCTAGAAAATCTGCAATGACTTGAAACATATGTAGGGACCCAATTTTGTGGAAAAACAGCAAGAAACTACTCACCAATTTTGTGCGCTATATCCTTCTTGTCTCTGAAAGTGACGGGAAGCTAAAGGAAGCGGACCAGATTCTGGCGATAAATGGTAAACCTCTGGACCACACGGTCACCCACCAACAAGCCATTAGCGTCCTGCAGAGTGCTTCAGAGAAGGTGCAGCTCACTTTGGCCAGAGGGCCTATACCTCAGCTGACCAGTCCAGTTGTGTCACGCACACCCTCTGCTGCTAGCACGTTATCAGCCCACTCCAGCAAGGTACAGGAAATATACACGTTTGGATTTCACTGAATTTTACGAATTTCGCCAACACCTTTGAAATGTTTCCGTTTTATGGATAACAAATCCAAATCAGGGTTTTTATTTCATTTTATTTTTTTCCCAGTGGCAGCACGTGGAGACGATTGAGTTAGTGAATGACGGCACTGGTCTCGGCTTTGGGATTGTTGGAGGAAAAACTACGGGGGTTATTGTCAAAACCATACTTCCTGGAGGCGTCGCAGATCAGGTGATTGCACTGGCGTATTTCAGTTGGGTTCAGGATCATCTAAGTTCCTAACTTTTGACACATTTTTAATCACAGGATGGACGCTTACGAAGTGGGGATCACATCCTGCGAATCGGAGACACCGACCTGTTTGGCATGGGCAGCGATCAGGTGGCCCAGGTCCTCAGGCAGTGTGGTAACAGGGTGAAACTGGTTGTTACTAGGGGCCCTGTGGAGGAGACGCCATCTGCCGTCATGTCTGTGGTGCTCCCCACTGTCGCTGAGCAGCAGGTAAATGAGACTTTCATTAAAATATAGGAATGACAGTATAAAATGTAATACAACAGGTTCTCATTTTTAGTTACATCACCAGTTCCCTGTGCTGCATCCTCAAATTACTGCTGTAAAATGTCAGTTATGCATTACATTTTCAATACTGCATATGTTATATTAATTTATTAAGACTAATTTTATTTAATCTATGTTTTTTATAAAATAATTTACATACAATTATTATACTCCGCAGTACCTATGTGAATACAGCCATCAGTGCCCATCTACAGAATGCACATAATAGTTCCTCCATAACAAGTGGTTTACTGCAGCGTATAACCAGATGCACAGATTATACTCATTATTTTTCAGTAATTATACAGTGTAAGTCCTTGTTATTCCACTGGCTGATGTGCATCACAGACAGCCATGAGCTTCAGGTGAGCTGCTTCTCACTAATATGCAGTTCTCTCTTCCAATCTGTGGTTTGTTTGTTTAAGGCGTTAATTTAGACAGATCCACACTGCCAGACTGTGTAAAAATACCACTGAACATCTTTTACTTCAAATAAAGTTGGAAGACTGCATGTAGTTCTCCAATATGTTGAAGTGATCTGACTAGTTGAATTTGTGCTATTCATTGAAGTTTCATGTGTTGGGTTGAGGTGAAAAAAAAAATGCTGAACTGGTTTTCCTGTAATTATATGTATATTTTTTATTCTTATAAACTCAATACATTTATTCATTAAGTTGGTGGTTTCTGGTAAGGCTAAAAATAATTCTGCATTTAAAATGCTTGGTCTGTTATTTTCACCTCCTGCTTTCTGTTGTATCACTCACTATCTTAGAGTTAGTGTAACAGTAGTAATGCACCAACGGGAATTTTGTGGCCAATTTCCAGTTTTTACAAATAATAAAGCAACAATACAGACAGAGAATGTGACAGAAAGCAGTTCCTAAAAAAATTAAAAAATATCATTTTAAAAGCAAACAAAAATCCACAAATTAGCATATATTTGGCAAATAAGTTTGAGATACAGTGCAAAGACATATCTGAATAGGTAAATCTGCGAATATTGAAATCGAGGAGACAAAACATGGGAACTGAGACAGTCACAGAAATAAACACAGAAACCAGAAAATTGTGCCCAACAGAACGTGAACCAACATGGGAATGACTCAAAGACTAAACAAATCGTGAACATAACCAGAATCCTTCAAATTTTCTGATTCCTTACTGGTGGTCAGTAGTCAGGGTCAATCAAGCAGTAAGCCATTTATGGTCAACAGCCTGTTTCTCAGAACATCTCTACATTACGCTGGGGAAAAAGAAAATACAAATACATAGAAAATACACTTCAAACAAAATTTTGGGCTGATACAAACAGTTTTAAACCTTCCTACATTTTTAGTATAAACAGTGGAAAATAATTAAATGCACCAGTAAGTTGCATAAGCTGTGAAGAACCATGGAGGTGTCAAATTATTTCTGTTGAAATGTTTCGAGCCGCACTTCTATATCCATTCTGGACCATAATCATGATGTAAAGATGAGTAACTTTTATTTACCCACAATAATAGAATTGTTTAGTTTTTCTCCTGTCAATGCAAGGTTAAAAGGAAAGGTTTTTGCTAATCTTGCTTTTGTTGACATTTATTTTAACAGGGAAGTGAAGAAGAGGAGATTGAAGCATTTGATGTGAGCCTAAGCAAGAACACACAGGGACTGGGCATTACTATTGCTGGCTATGTTGGAGATAAGAACTCAGGTGAGAATAAAGTGGAGGTTGAGTTCAATTATTATCATTCCACATATGACAGGATATCAAATTATATGCATGTATTTATATCAACACAGGTATTTGTGGAAGCCACAATCAAAAAGGAAAAAATGCTGTATGAATAATTAATGGAGTTAAATAATTTTATAGGGGTATTTCTGTGCCAGATTGTGGACTCACAACTGTCCCTCCGAGATGGTGATTCATCTATGCACACATTAAATGTTTTTAATATTGGCGTGATCATCGTTGTAAGCTGGAAGAGAGTTTGAAGAGCTCTATGGAAAATATGATCAAAAAGACTAAATGAGAAGCAGCTCTACATGGTGCCAGGCATATTGTAAAAAACATCGTTATAAAGGATATATATTCATTTGGTGGATATTTTACCATCCTAAAGGAACGTTAAAATATATATATACTTTTTTCTTGATAGAAGTTGGTCAACAATATATTTATATTTGCTTGTTTATTGTGAGCTTATGTAACTCTCAAAGTTGAGCATGTTTCAACTCGGCGGAAATAACTGCAGTTTTAACTTCCAAGGAATTTAGTCTCGCTCTTGCCTTGGCTTGTGCCTGACAGCATGTACATTGACAATATACAGGGTTTAATAAAAACTTACAGGAATAAATACAAAGGAAAACAGATCAATGAATATGAATATGAAGGCAGGCAGTCTAACAGAAGGGAGTAATAGAAACAGAGTGGCTTAAATACAAGGGAGTGTGATTGCTGACAAGATGCAGGTGGTTGACAGATGTGAGAGAAGATAAAGAATAAAATGAGGGAAATAAAAGTAATGAATCCACAAACTGAACAGGGACTAAAAGGATCTAGAACCAAAGGGAAAACACTAACAAATAATGTAAAAGAATCAAATACAAAAATACAAGAAACAGAAGAGAGGAATAAACTAGAAAACTCAATAGAAAGGAATTAATGTATGGAAAGACCTTAAAAGCAATACTTATGAAACTGTATGTGCCAAGATCTGTTAGGCAATAATAAGACACAAATATTAAAAAACTAGGAAATAGTCTGACAACCACTGATAGAAACACGAGGGGATAAAAACTGACCAGGTGGGTTACCAGAATGGAGTTTGAACCACATTCTGTACCAGTAGGTGGCGGTAATTATTATATGAAGTGTTTTTTCAACTGGCAATAAAAATCAAAAAGAAGATAATCGTGGATAGGAAAAATTTATTCACACAAAAGGGCACGACTAAATAAAACAAACCTGAGCAAAATGGTGTGAGAAACAAATTATTGGAAACCCTTTCGAACGCTAAAGCAAAACTCTTTTGGGACATGATGTTAATATGGAAAACCTAAAAGTGAAAATATGTACAACCAATATCTATATTTAATTTCTCTTCTTGTCTTCCTAAAGTTTAAAAGTAATTAAGAATTAAGAATAACAGTGGAAATATTTACACGACAAAAAAGTTTAAAGATGTGTAAATATTAGATATTAGTTTTAAAAAGTGCTAGATGTTTTACTACTGTACACCTGTACTTCTCTAAATGTCATTTTTGACCTACACGCATAATTTTCTAGTCTTCAAAAAGCAGATAAATCACAGTGTAAAGTGTAAATTGCAAGTTGGTTGAGATTAACTTTAACTTTACAGCTTGTTCTGACTCCCCAGAGCCATCTGGCATCTTTGTAAAGAGCATAACAAAAGACAGTGCAGTGGATCAGGATGGCCGGATTCATGTTGGAGACCAGATAATTGCCGTGAGTACCTTGATTCTTCCCCTCGGAGGAAAAGCTGTTTTTACTGTTTCATTTGGTCTGGACTAAAATATGCAGTGAAAGATTCAGGTTGCGTTTTCTGTTGCAGTTATCGCATTTACGCACTTGGCAGAGGGACGTTATGAGATGCATAATTTTGAATAATTCACAGTTTACAGATAGCAGCAGCTCTTTTTTGCAACCATGAATATAATGGAGTGTTTAATTAGCATACTGAGAAAATATGTTTTTAATATTCTTGCTGAGGATTTTTATGGTGCATTGTTTTCATAATGTTCAGACTGATTCCTCTACTTTTATTCTGCTCTGTGAGAATCTTATAATTACTTAAATTACTTTAATTTATTACCCATCTGAGAAGAATCTAATTAAATAGGAGAGCTGGGAGTATTCCCAGCTCTCTCAGTGTTTTCTATATAGCCTCTGGTGTTTACAAACTCTTAAATTACTTTAATTTAATTTTCTTGGAGCTTGAGTGCATTTTACAGCATTCCTTCCCAAGACATTTTTCTGACAGTTTTCATATCTGGATTGACCCCAATGGTCGCCCCCTGTAGGTGGATGGCATAAACATCCAGGGATACACCAATCAACAGGCAGTGGAAGTTCTCAGACACACCGGCCAGACGGTCCACCTTAAGCTGATCCGACGAGGCTTCAGGCCCGACGACGAAGAGGAGCCCCCCACCGTGACCCCTACCGTCTCCGTCTTGTCCCCTTCTGCCACCATCCCGACCACAGCCACCATCATGAAGGAGCTGGAATTGGAGAGGAGCACGGCTCAGCAGCCCACTCAAGGTAGGAGAAAATGGATTTTCTAAAAACTACATAGAAAAAAGTTATCTATTATTCTGCTTATCTCAATATGTCTAGAGAGGTTTTATTTTATGTGCAAATATGACTATGAAAACATTTTTTTTTCTTTTTTATGGGATATCAAATTAAACATGCTATCTTGCTACAGTTACATATGTTATTGTGCAAACATATATATCTTTGTAAAATAAATTGACCTTAATTTAATGTAAAATTTATTAGAAAAATATTGAACTTAAAAAAACCTACCCCCTGCAATGTATGTAGCACCTCTTTTCAGTTCAACCAGAAAGACAAAGCAAACAGACAAAGCGGTGAATGAGTAGTTAAAATCGTCCAGGATTCCAATCTCTTTGAAAAGATTTTGTGCACAGTTTATTTGTGGGAATGGATAGAAATTCAACTTTAAGAAATAATATTGTTTTCTTTCGAAACAGTCCCACAGTATCATAGATCCTCTGCCTTACTTAACAGGGGGCCACAAGGTGTTTTGTTTCACCATACACCCACCTGAATTGTCCCAGTACAAATGGATTCCAAATGTTTGCAGTAAAGCGTTATTCTATGGTTTGGTTAACCTAAGATAGCACTCCTTGTTGCACCATACAGTTAGTTTTTCTTCTCCCTACTTTGTGTCATAATTCCAAGTTTTTATTCCACATTGCTTAAAGTTAGCAGTCGTTCTAAACTTTTTATAGTTTGCTCTGACTCGAAATTAGGGTTAAGCGTATGATAGTTTCTGATTTTTTGTAGCCATTTCCTCACTTGTCCAGATCAACACACATCTGCCTTACTTGAGTGGCTTGTTCTCTTGTCTTTGGCATTTGGAAGAATTTTACATATTTTTAGACAAGGGAAACAGGAAGTCATGGATTTCAATTAAGAAGCTTCTTAACACTCTAATCAACTTTGAAACTAGGTGATCCATTAAAAATGGTTGTTTGTTTAACCTAGCTTTCTTGTTCTCCTTTAATGGGTCTAACAACTTTAATGAATGAAGATAAATCACATTTCTAACAGTTTTTAAATTATATTAGAAACTCCGGATTCTAATAAATGGATTTTTTGTTTTTACCATAGCCTCTAAAACCATTTCTTTCTAGTGTCACATTTGAAATGAGTTCTTATTTTTAGATTAAACCCCCTTAGCTCAATTTTTTACTTAATGATGTGTACAGGATAGTATTAATGTGTGCCATGTTTGTTTTAGACATTTAACATTAATCAAGTTAGAGACAGGAAAGTGAAAGGTTTTTGTCTCCAGCTGCACTGACAGAGCCTCTAGGGTTTTACAGAAGCAAGAAGCCAAGTTGCTTAAGTGGCTTAGTGTCAACAAGGATTGATAGAAATAGGAAGTAATTAGATTTGGCATGGAGAGAAAGTAGCCCAAAAGCCTGGACACAGATTTGATAAAGAAGTCACGATTTGCAGCGAGTGGTGGTGAGGAAGACGCTGAGGACCCAGGTTGGAATGAACAAGTGATGATTTAATGATGGAAATACAAATTCAGAAATCCAGGCTGCACAGATTGAGCAGGAGGCTAAAAGCTCAATTTCTGGTAGCAACTGACAGCAGACAAGATGTCAGACAAGACAGCCTGACACGATGAGGCAGATTCGACAAGGACCCAACAAGGAACACATTTGGGTTTAAACGCACAGGGAGACAATCAAGGAAAATCAAGAAACAGGTGTAACTAATCAAGGGGTAGACTGGACAACACAGAGACTCCACAGAACACAGACCTAAATAAACACAGAAACCCAAATTCCTACAAAAGACTTAGAATTAAACTTTTATTTTCATGAGTGCTATGATTCAAATCAGAAATTGAGAAATACAAAAATATATGAAATTTAAATAAATAAGATCTATGCATATTGTACTGCTGAAGGGGCTGGTGGCAAAAACAGCTGGGCCCAGAGTCTCCTCCACAACACAGGTCCTCCAAAAAAAGGGAAGAATGCTGAGACCTTACCAACTCTGCTGGATTTCATAAGAAATCTTTCATTTCTTTTTGTATCCTTTGTTTCCACTCAGGGGTATGGAATGGGTTGATCCAGTTTGGGATGCTATGTATCTGTTTAAAATGTAAAAGAAACTACAACCGATCTGTACCACACCATTCCTGGGACCCCTTCCGTTGAGTCAACAGAAATTATTACTGAACTTCACTGAAACTGAAATGATTCCAAAAGTAAACTTGTTCAACCTTTAGTCCTTATAAGTACAGTACAAGTACAGTAATATATGCTATAGTATTTTTGAAATATATAGGATAATAGTGTGGTATGGTAAGGGAGGAGGATACTGGTGCCACACAACACAGTCGATTGATTGGGGAACAATGTGCCACATTTGTTCTCACACAAGTATGACATGTTTGGGTTTATTCCCGTCTGCCTGGTGAGGGTCCAACTATCAGTGGGAACACTCCTTAATTTGCCACACCACTGAACTTCACTGACCCATGCTGAACCACTCAGTGGAAACAAGACATTAGTAAGTTAAACTACAGGAAAAAAAGCGCAAAGTGCATTCAGCATGTTGTTTACAAAGTCCTGATCAGGTTAGATTTGTAAATCATTTTTGGAACACTGGGACAAATGAGATCAGTACTGAGAACAAAGAAAATCTAATCGTACATGCTGATGTGCTGATGCTCACGAAAAGAATTGCATTTTTGTGCACCTGTCACGGGTTTTCTGTGTTTCAGCAGCCGTCGTTGCTGAGAAGCAGCTCCAGACAACAGGAGAAGGATCTGATGTCAGCTCCGCTGTGGATCATCTAACAAAAGACAAACATGGTAGGAGGCTGGGATTATTCAAGTCATTCTGCCAGAGAGCTGCTGTTCCCACATTTAACAGATAAGGGCTATTGTTTACAGGACCAGACAGACTCACAATGGGAAGAAATACTGAGATGGCAGCGAAGCGCTAAAGTTAGATTTTTAGACTGCCGCATATAAAAGAGGATTTATGTTTGTTTTTATGGAAAACTTATTTTAAGTACTGAAAATATATTTACAATCAGGATGTTGTGATGCATGCTTTTTTCTTTACATTAGGTCCGAAGTTAACCCTGATTGAAGAAGACGAACTGATGAAGAAATGGCAAGAGATTCTTGGTCCAAATAATGAAGTTGTGGTAAGGATGGATGGGTGTGTGTATGTGTAAGAGTTACCATATTTGAAAAACAAAAGATATTGAGCATCTCACGAGTTTTCATGCTTGCTTCCTCTGCAGGTGGCTCAGGTTGAGAAGTTTACTGAGAACAGCGGCCTGGGCATCAGTCTGGAAGCTAGTGGTGGTCATCATTACATCCGTTCAGTCCTTCCTGAGGGACCAGTCGGTCGCTGTGCAAAGTTGTTTAGTGGGGATGAACTGCTGGAGGTAAACTTTTGCTCAAAGAAATAAAAGAAATAAAAATATGTGTTCATGCTTCTATGTGATATAGCACTAGTATCATTTAATTATGGGCTTTTTTTGTACAAATGGCTGCTGTAACAATGAATAAATGTTCATTTTTTTTCTTTAGAGAGTTAAATGAATTATTGTGTCAATAAGAAAACACTACTGGTTAAAATTGAAATGATTCCAAAAGTAAATGTGTTCAACATAAGTGCAATACAGGAACAGTATCATATATACTATATCTACTATCTCTAAAACAAATCATTACCAAGTCTACACAGACTCACCAGCAACTTAAATTATTTTTAGAAATATGTAATGTGGAAAACTTTTTTTTAAGAAAAAAAACACATTAGCTTTGCACAGTATATGAGAGTGGACAGGGACTAATTTACTTTTCTTCATAAAATAAAGAAACCATTGTGTTTGAACTTGAGCATATTACTTCCTCAAGGCCAAGTCTAGTACTTTAATAGTCCCCGAGAAGCCTGTGGTGTTCAGCAGAAAATGTTTTCCAGCTGTTGAGTCTCACTAGAGTGGATTTTCTCACCTAACACCAGGTGTTTGAATGTTGAAAGCATTCGTACCGCAATCTAATTTCCTAATACAACGCAACCTGTCTCTGAAGTGTTTATTTACTAAAGTCAAAAATATTGGAGCTTTGTTTGTAGAGAACAGACTGTTGTTCTCAGGAGATAAAGCTTAAAGATAGTTAAGCTTTAACTCCTATAAAATAGGGGCAGAAAAAAAAATCAGTCAGCATGTCAGGTCGGAAGTCATTGATCAGTTGCAATGAGTCCTAAAAATGTCTAACTCCTACTAAAAATCTTTATTAATAAATATGTTTATGGTAATTGAACACATCCAATGATCTGACCTTCTACCATTGTCATAGTAATTGCACAAGATTAATTTCCCTCTTCTGGTATGGTTATGCAGATGGTTTTGCTGATGACTTTGAAATCTGTAACTACACATGTAAAACAGCTGGGATTAAAAGATAAGGTGGTGACAGTTATGGGCAGTTTTTGGTCCGATATTTTAAAGTTACAATTTCTTGACAATCCAAATCAAATTATTGGTTTGATATTTTGTTATTTTAGCAGGGCATTTTTAGTCACAGTACATCTGAATCATAATGTGCTGAGAAATGAAGTGATTGCTTGAAAGGCAGGCCTGAATGTCAGGTCTGATTAAAAAAAAAAAACTGAGTCACCATGGGTTTTAAAGTTAACACTGAGATCTTCCTGTTTAGGTGAATGGGATTTCTCTGATCGGAGAGACCCATAAAGAGGTGGTGAGAATCTTGAAGGAACTTCCAATCTGTGTGTACATGACATGCTGCAGACCTGCTCCAGATCTCCAGATAGATATGGATACAGTCCAACCAGAATCAGATGCTTTTCCTACTGAATATAAACTGAAGGTACAGTCATATATTTGTCTTTTTTACATCGCCGTAAGAAAACATTTGCTGTGTTTAAAGAAAAAGACAAAAAAACTAACACACTACAAGGTTTTAGTAGCACATTACGTAACATATTCATACATTTAAAGCCCGGAGAAACAAATTTAAAGAAAACTAGCCCAACCTGACTGTCAGTGGCTCCTTTGGCTTTCCTCCTTGATAGCCAGGATGGATTAAGACTTACTGATAAGAACAGGAGGCTTAAAGTTTATTAGAAACAGTTTCAGCACCAATACCTCAGCAGTTGCCAGCATCACGGAGATATGAGACATCAAATACAGCTTTCCTTTGGGTAGAGGGGTTTTTCATCTCTGTAGCTTTATCTGTGATAATGTTCTGAGAGCTGAGCATCCCAGAGATGTTTCCCCTTTTTAACTACTGCCAGAAACCTGATCCACAAACAGACTTAGAGGGTAGGAGCCTGTGGGCTGGGAGGGAAAGGAAGGATGGTGTGCTGTCTCATTGTGGTTTTGGGTTTTTCCTCTCCCTGCAGAATAACATCAGCAGTGCACTGGTTTCTGAAGTTTCAGAAACGAATGACATCGAAGATCCTCAGGATACAGTTACCGAAGAGGCAATTGGATCTCCTTTGGCTATGTGGGAGATGGAGATCCAGAATATCGAGCTGGAAAAGGGAGAAGGGGGATTGGGATTCAGTATTTTGGACTACCAGGTGGGACTTCTTCTTTTAAAACCTGTGAGAGGAGCAAGTTTTTGTCTCTATTAGAATAAATCCCTTGTTTCTCTGTTTACTAACTTTTAACACAATAGAAATCATTCAGTCATGTTACCGTTTTTACCGCCAGGACCCGCTGGACTCCTCCAAGACAGTGATTGTGATACGCTCACTTGTTCCGAACGGTGTTGCGGAGATGGATGGCAGACTTCTGCCCGGAGACCGACTCATGTATGTGGACAGCACAAACTTGGAGAATGCCTCCCTTGAGGATGCTGTCCAGGCCCTTAAGGGGGCCAAGGTTGGAAAAGTCCAGATTGGAGTTGCCAAACCTCTGCCTGTAAGTAACATTATCTCAATTCTTGCTTTTGATTTTATTTTACAGCTATGTGAAATACTCAAATGTACTGCAGATCGTGGCTTGTAGTTTAAAGAGGGTGCAAATGTATTGGAATTAGTTATTTAATTTTCCAGCCGCTGTGAGTCTTAAGGAGACAGACCTTTTCATGTCACACAACGTTGGGCCCAGTCATGAGGGCTCAACTTACAGAGAGCTTGAATTTTTTATGCAGGAAAAAGTTGTGGAGGTAGGCTGCAGGGTGTAGCTTTCCACCCAACCCTCTGTCTCAAAGGGTGATCAGCCTGGAACGCTTAGTTCCATTATATTATGGAATTTTCCATGAGCATCCACCCTCTTGAACACTGAAACACATGAAAGCACCTGTTATAACAGCAGGTCCATCGGACGGCATGTTTGTTGCTCTGGGCTCCCAAGATCTTTTTGCTATATTAAAAAAACAAAAAACAAAACAGCTTTGTTGTTTTTTTGGGGGTTTTTTTTCCTACTGTAGAGATGCATTTTCCTGCATTGAATGTGCTGTTGGATTACTCAGCAAGACCTCTGGGCTGCTGGGGTTAGGTGGATTACTGAGCTGTAGGGAGCTCTCCTGCAGGATGTGGAATGTGCTTCTGAAGGGGTTTTTTTTTGTCATATTGCCTTGACTCTGATGTGTGTGTTATCTTCCCTGTTTGCCTTGATCCTTTTCATATACAGATCCTTGCAAAAGTTACAGCCCTGGAATTTTTTCACATTTTATCATGTTACAACTCCAAACTTTAATTGTTTTATTGGGATTTTATTTCATGAACGAACACAAGGTAGATCTTAATTGTCGAGCACTCCATTATGAAACCTAATTAAGCCACTGTTGCTTATTCCTACCTCTCAATCCTTCATTTATAAGGGAAATAATTTGTGGAGTGGGGAACGATTAAGAAGAAATTGCTGTCCAGCTGCTGTTGACAGATTTATCTGAGGCGTCCTTGGAAATAGAAGGGCAGGAACAGTGTTAAGATATATACAAATCAATATTTGTTAGTTAATGTGCAGTATATTATAAATATAGCTCACAAGTTTGAGGTTGTAAAGTGAGAAAATATGAACAGGTCCAAAGGGTTTGAATATTTTGTCAAGGCACTGTATTTTTATGAGCTGAATCAATTAAAATAAGGAGCTTTTAACTGAGATTCCTTTCAGAGCTTTTCTGCTTCAAAATATTCTCATTTAGTTTTTTAACCTTAATCAATCCTAACCACTTCTTTTCATCTTCATTCCATACTAATTCCTTCATCACTAGATTTGGTAACAAAGAAAAATCTCATTCAATAAAGCTGGAGACACTGAAAGAATTTCTCCACTTTCCTAGGGAATATGTGGAGATTTCCATTCTCCACACCCTTTTGGTGAGCAGGAAATACCTTCATCACCCATTATCCATTCATTTGACTTCAGCAGTATTTTGATTGAAGAAGGAGAGGAAGGAAGACTGACTGAGGGCATCCTTTACCGAGCAGAACCTGCATTGGTTAGTTAGCTTTTGGAGAAAAAACAACTGCAAAAAATGAGAACACTTGAAAAAAGAAGCAGTTTGTGCTTCATTGTAATATTTGCTTTTGTCTAATTAATTCAAAATTAGACAAAAGTTGAAATTATGTAGCAGCTTAGGGTATTTTGACAGAATTTTTTATTTTTTTATTAATGTTACAATGTGTTTTAGATCATTTTGCTGTTACATATTCATAACGTAGCTTGTTGTTGCTGCAAATCATGCTCAATAACTAACTTTATTTTAGAGTCTCACTTAGATTTCAATCCGTTGTCCCAGATTGACACAAGTGAAGGAGACCTAACTGATGATAAGGTGTTAGATCATACTTACTCTGGGATGGAGGACGACACATTCCAGGCATCAATGATTGCTCTCCATGGCAGCAGCTGCAGTGCTGACTTGGATTGCCTGCAGTCATCCACACCCAAGGTAAAGAAAAACATTTCTCAAATCACAACACCTGGAATAATAAAAATACTCTGTGCTTAATGCTTTAAGAGTGCTGAAACTTTTTTTTTTTACTGTTCTTACAGCCTTTTTGTACAATTTCTGTATTTTTTTTTTTTTTTTTTTTTTTTCCAAGGAACTGTGGTCATTATATGAAGCTTTAATAGGATGGTTTTGTACTTCTGTTTCGGAGCCTGTAGTTTCTCAGCATTAAAAGAATCCATTAACGTCAGTGGCTCCAATTTCAGCACTACGCACTGGAGAAGTTGAGAAAACGTCCAGGATATAGAGGTCTTTGTGAAAGTCCAAGATTGCCCGTTGAGGTGTATATTCTGACTTTCTAACATGCCCAAAATGTTTTAGGGAAGTTTTGACTCTACGTCATCATGTGTTGGCAAATGTTGGTTCTGTGCAGAGCAGGATGGGCACATGCACATTTAAATTGTCCAGCACGCACTCCTGGGGAGGAGAACACACCTCCAAATTGTTCATGCTGTTTGCTGCAAGGCCAAAGGAAGTTGTAATTGTAACATTTTCAATTCCGTATCTCTTGTTCACTGAATTTGACAAGTTAATAAGTGAAGCAAGCCACACAACTCTTCTGAGTGGAGACATCTGAATCAGACAGTGTTTCAGTTTTCTCAGCGGTCAGCGCTGACCGTGTTTACCGGAACTTCCTGATTAATTTATGAGGTTACAGGGCACTCTGAAGGGTCACACATGTTCCTTGATGTCTGCAAACAGATTACAGCATTTGTTTTGGGTCAGACAGTTCAGCCTTCAAGATGTGCTTTTCTTTTAAAGATAGACAACACGCCTTACAGCCAAGGTCAGTTGTGTCGGCTTCCTGACATTTATCTAAGGTCACATTCTTTGCTGTTATATTAACAATTCAAGTTTTAAACAGGTAAACAGTCTTGGAGAGTTGTTTCAAATCACAAAATTGGCTTCTTGCGTAACACCTGTACACAATGCAAGTAAAATGGCTTGAGTTTAATGTTTGCAGACATGTTTTATTGTAAATCTGTCTGTGCTATGTGCAATCCCAGTAAATGGACTTCATGGTGGCTTTAAAACCCTTGAGTTTCTTCCAATTTGTTCATATTACAAGCCTCAGTCTAAGGTGATGTGTGATTGCAAAGTATAGAGAAAATGATACATTAATAATGCAAAGTTTTTAACAAATAATGTGTGTGCTGAGCCAATACTGTGCTCAAGATTCAGTTTTGCCCTTTAGAAATATACCACATACTAGTGGTATGTTACAGGGTATTTTTCTTGTCAATAGGTTAGAAATGTACATGTTACATGATGTAACAATTGTGGCTCTAAATTACTTTTTGCTGAACTGAGAGGAGAAAAAAAATATCGCTTTGTGTTGTGAAGGTTGCAGACCCCTGGTCCAATCCTTTCTATTGTAGCTCTGCCTTTATATTTAAGGTTGAAATCTTGCTAAAAGGTGAGCCTTACACAGTAACAATGGGCTCTTGGCTGCTTCCCCGTTAAATTCTGCTCTTGGCCGAACTGTCAGTTTAATATCCTCCCCATTTTGGTATGTTTGCAGCTGTTCTATAGGCTTTCCATGTTCAGATGATGGATTGAACAGAGAGATTTGGATACTATTTTATAACCTAACTGTGGTTTAAGCTTGTCCACAACTTTATCCCTGCTGTGTTCCTGGGTCTTTATGATGCTGTTTGTTCATTAAAGTTCTTTAAAAGATGTTAGAGGCCTAAAGTAACAAAGAAAACTTAACAAATTTGTATTTGTATCAAATATTTATTTGTAACAAATGCTGAAAATGTTACCTCATTTGCTTCCAAATGAAAATGATGTCTTCTGATTGGTTGTTACTTTTAGAACAATTAATCTCTTACTCTTAGAATTCTTAGAACAATCAATTTACTCTCTAAGACGCACAAAACTTTATTTTCAATAAAGCTGGACTGCTTTCATAACCAAAATGTAGAAATAAAGTTCATTTTACGCTTTAGATCAACCTTCCTCGATAGCCATTAAAGGCTTTTCTGTGGCTTGTTAAAGAAAGAGCAAGCTGGATGGAGCCTGAGTGTGATTTATCCTCCCTGAGTGGATGTTCATTCATCTGCCATGCTTTGTTTCACTGTAGCTGACAGCCCGTCTGAACGTGTTGGATGAACACCCCGGCTTCGCAGACGAAGCTCCGGCATTCTCCACAGAGAAGTCGGCCTCTTACACTCCAGCGACTTTGACAGGTCATATCCCGGCGATTAATACCATTCTAAGCAGCTCAGATCAATACTTGGCAAAGCCCCCGAGTGAAGAACAAGAACCAGTCGGGTGCTCAGACTCCTACAGCCTGTTTGCAGAGATAGAGGCCAAACACATTGACCAGGAGGCACCTGTGGAACACCCTCTCTGTCTGATCGAACCAGTCATCTCATTTAGACATACGGAAGACACAATGGTAACTTAAATTCTTTTACAATCAGCTTTCAGGGGTTTAACTAAACCATCAAACTTACTTTACCTCTGTTCATTTTTTTTAGCTTAGTTAATGTTGTGCACTTTGTCTCAATAAACATCTCTTAGTTAAAGCCTCCTCTCACATTTTAGATACACAAAAGTAAGAGATGAATTGCTCAAAATTAATTTTGACATTCAAATTGCTTCATTCTTCTCTCCAATGGAAGCTGTGTTTGGAATCCGCTTTAGTATGTTTTAATTTGTCATCAACAAATGTGTTGAATTATCACTTTTAGGATAAAGAGAAGACGAACGTGAAAGAATCTGCTGAAGATGACAACAAAGCGGCTCTGACCTCTGGTAGCAATTTTGAAAGGACCATCACAGTTGTCAAGGGCAACTGCAGCCTTGGTGCGTGCTTAGTTCTTCATATTTTTTGAATTATTTGTTTTTGTTTTCCTCTCCTGCCCCATAGGGGGTTAATGAAGTGTCAGGCCTGAAAGTGGGAGTTGGCCTTTAGGTCTTTGGCTTTATAAAATTTAATTTTACAGAAAGAAATGATAGCTGTAATATCTCATAGTTTTTATGCTTAGTGACAAATCTGCTGCAATGCAAAGCATTAGCATTTAAAAAAATGCTGGAGGGACTCTTCCTAACAAAGAGAAAGTAAAGTTTGAACTTTAAGAACAAATGCATATTTAAAATTATCTCTTTTTTTTAGCTTAATTGTACTATTTAAAGGTCTGTTTAGGCTAAATAATTAATATATTGCTTATTTTCTGTTTCTGGTGCACGTTATTATGCCATAGTTAAAAATGTACATAACATTATTATTTCTTTCAACTTTATAAGTATTAAAAGATAATATGTGTGGTCAGTTATTTAGATAAGCTTTTACACATTACTCCAGTTTCTAAGATGTTTTATTTTGGTACAAATATTTAACAGCCACTGCTTGTGTGTGTATTTATCTAATACAAATGTTAATGCAGCTTTGTTTTACCATCTGCTCTAAAGGGATGACAGTGAGCGCCATGAAAGATGGGCTGGGGATGGTGATCCGCAGTATCATCCACGGGGGGTCCATTAGTCGCGACGGTCGTCTGGGAGTGGGCGATCTGATCCTGGCCATCAACGGAGAGCCCACCACCAACCTGTCTAACGTCCAAGCTCGTGCCATGCTCAGGAGGCACTCTCTCATTGGACCAGACCTCGGGTAAGAGGCGGAGTGGCTTAGTGCCTTAGTGTGCATGAAACTTGACAGAATTATGCAGCATTACATAAATATGATGACACGTTTTCAAAACTGTAAGGGGTTTTTTGTTCCCAGGTGGCAAAGCGGTGTGCAGGTAATCTCTCAAAGATCACAGTATTCATTCAAGGATGTGCACATTTATCCAATGATTTTCTTTTGTTTTTTCATCCTTCTCCTGACTGCAGTTTTCAAATGACTCAATGTGGTCTTGTTTTACATCACGCAAACATGCTTTGTAACATTGGTGTGCACACTTTTTAGACAGATGAGTTATCGTCAGTTTCTGTGCTGCTGAACCGTATCCCCTCAATCACTTTGAGTCCTTTTTCGACCTGAAAATGAATTAGATGTGTAATTAAGATGTTTTTATAAATTCTGCTTGCTGAACTAAACTTGGCAGTTTGTTAGCTTCGGTGCATAAAAAGCCAACTCTTCACATTTTAGATCTGCTTGTGCACCTGAGGACGATCTGTGCCCGTTTTATGTGTGAGTATGACTAACTTCCACGCCGACAGATTCTCAAAAAGTTGCTGACGCTTTGGTTTTCCTTTTCTTTTTGTTTGTCTGGTGAGAGGTTTATCCAGAAGGATTAGGTCTCTCGAGTGGTAATTTGTTTTCAACTTAAGAGTGAAAAAAAAGTGAGGAAACAAAATGTGGACGATTGAATCTTAAAACATCCACCTGGATAAATCTTGACAGGCTGTGTCGCCTATTCATCCTACTAAACTTGGTGCCAAAAGTTATTTTCTTTCTAAAACCATTAATATCTTTTTATAACTCACTTTTTCATGTGCGTCCCTGACATTTTGCTCAGTGCATGTTTTGATGATTTTAATGAAGCAGCTCATCATTTTTTTGTAGGATTAATTTTCTTCTCCTTTCTGCATGCCATCAAGTAAAAAAAAAAAAGCGAAGAAAAAAAAACAATTGCACCCATCTGCTGAAGATCTGTCAGCCTTTCTCCGATGTGTTAATGTGCCCTTGAGAATCAGCTTCTCTGAATTGTTTTCAGATGGATTTGCGAGTAGATGGCAGTTTGTCACCCATCTCTCAGCTCAGCTCATTCGACGTATGAGCCGTCTGCTCTCTTTCAATTAATAATAGATTAAAAGAATCCTTCAGATTTGTCACGTTTGTCCCACAATGGGTGACTGAAGACTTGATTTGCTTAGACTTTTATGAAGGTAAACAGCTGTTTTCAGCAGTCAGGTGTCAAAGTCTTGCATATATAATTCATGGACGTTTCACCTTGAGCTTGTTACGAGGGGAATGTGTTTACTGGAAGGCAAAGTGGGTTTGGTTTTGAAAAGCCAGCCTCAGACTATAAATGAGAACAGCTGTAATGTTCTCCATTTATAGTAAACGGTGCACATTGTAGTCATGAGTAGTTACTAATTTTCACTATGATGGGAAAATTAGTTTTTAAGTACAAATGCAGGTTTGTTAATTTAAAAAAACAAACATTTGTGAACATATCTGTGTGTGTGCATTTGGGTTTAGTGTTACATACGTCCCTGCTGAGTACCTGGAGGAGTACAAAGCCAGCCTCGAGCAAGCTAAGGATATCTTCACTGAGACGGCTCAAGAGTAAGTTCCCATCCCAAACACAAGGTCTGTAGCCAATGCCTGTCCTTAATATGAAATGCATAAAACATTTTATTGTTTGTTTTATTTGTTTCGGATCGGCAAGCAAATTTCAATAGGAGACAAAGATGACCTGAGTTAATACAGACAGCATTTTTTCCAAGTTATGTGTTGAATTATATATTTTTTATTCTTACTTATTGCAGAACGCTGTCAGTTTTTCTGTTGTGCTGATTAACCCAGTTTTTGGTGGGGAGTTGAATAATTTCCATTTCAACAAAAAAAAAAAAATCTTTGATATCCTTCACATTGTTGCAGGCTGGAATTAGATTCCTTCTATCTTTTGAAGCATAACTTGTGGAAGCTGTTATTTACTTAAATTTCATTTTATTTAAGTCCTTATAATTGTACCTAGAGATTCACCGATCAGCCAACGTTTTTCGGAGGACTATAAAATATTTTGCAGGTTATTTGGTAGCGTTGGTAGTTTTGATTCTAAATGACAATGAAAGATTTAAACTATAGACTTTGCATCAAAACATGCATCCCTAACCTTTATTGGATTCTAATTAAACTAAAAGTAATAATAATAAGTCCCAGGATATGGTGTTGCTTGTTGTATTTGCAGAACAAAAATAGTTTGAATTCTTGATTTTGGTGCCAAAATCCAAAGATTACTGATTAAAGGCGATCAAGAGAATTTCAGCTAGTCTTGATGTAAAGCCAAATTGATTAGTGCACCTTTCATCTGAAATTTAATAATAGATTAGGTCGCCACGTATCTTTCATATCAAAATTATGGACCTTTCCATCATCTTATAGCCCCTTTTTATAGAATAAGTACATATGTTTACAATAAATCTCTCACGGGAGATGATCAGTGTTGTTATAGATAGATGGAACAAATTACCTTGAGACTCTTATGTTGAAGTTTTGTCTAGAAAGCAACATTAATTTATCATCTTGGATTTTTCTAGATTTCTGATCTGACTTTGTTTACTTGAACAACTTTAGGATGCCTTGAAATGACATTTGTTGTGAAGTGGCACTATATGAATAAACTGAATTTAATTTGCTGTTTCCCTAAAGACACAGTCTCGACAGATAAAGTTTGATTTACATGTCTGCAGCTTTAATAATTTTTATAATGTATGCATATCATTTAATTTTTCTAGCTTGAATGTAATATTCTGTCCTACTTCATTACATTTTTAGAGATATTCCCAACCTCCCAGAGCGTGAAGATGGGGAGGGAGAGGAGAGTGCCTCATACAGCAACTGGAATCAGCCACGGAAGTAAGTATACACTTAAAGTCTCAACTGTAATTGTCTGAACACGTTTCATCAGCACAAATGGCCCAGCTTTTAAATGATAATTATGAAAAATGGGAATGCTGCCTTTTCTCAGAGTGGAGCTTGTCAGAGAGCCTGGTAAGTCCCTGGGGATCAGCATCGTCGGCGGCAGAGGGATGGGCAGCCGTCTGAGCAACGGGGAGGTGATGAGGGGCATTTTCATCAAGCACATCCTGGAGGACAGCCCTGCTGGCCAAAACGGGACACTAAAGACTGGGGACCGCATAGTGGAGGTAATGAAGCATCTCAGTTCAGCTAGAGGTTATTTTCAGTTACAGTTTATGCTGTTATTTGTACTTTTATGATGCTTTTGTTTCAGGTGGATGGCGTAGATTTACGAGATGCAAGTCATGAGGAAGCCGTGGAAGCCATACGGAAGGCAGGCAATCCTGTTTCCTTCTTGGTCCAGAGTATTATTCACCGAGCCCGGGTGAGTCTGTAAAATAGAGCCAAACTAAGTGCTATTTAGCTTCCTCGTAATATAAAGGTCACTGCTGCCCCGTGTTGCCTCCTTTTCTTTATCTCATGGGACAATTTATTCTGTCTTTGCAGGCTATTTAGGGCATTTTCAAAGCTAAAAAGTGCTATTTATGTGCCACCACTGTACTACAGTGGTCCTTAGCAGGCTGAAAGTAATTTTCAAACATTTTGCTTCTAAGAACAACATATCCTGCTTGGAATATTAACTATAGTACAAAGCTTTAACCTTTTTAAAAAACCCCTCCTTTAAAAATCACTACATCAACAACACTGTTTGTTGTTTGAAAGTGCCCTCGGGCCTTCAAACCATGAGTAAGTACCTTCCTGCTGGGGCTGCCGCTGGCCTGGCTTCAATGCTGTATCACTCTCAGTCAGATGCCTCTTCATTTTCACATATTCCTTTCTGCTTTTGCGAACAATTTATTTTCTCATTAGGCATGTTGCGACTCATAATATAACACAGAGAAGACTACATTCAAGCTTGTACAGCAATTAGCATCCCTGTTAGAAAAGTGTTAAAACCTTCAGATAGGTGATTGTTTTATTCAAGCTCAAAGAGTGATATCTATAAGACCCACTTGTTTGCTGTAGTTTCTTTTTTATTATACAGACATGAGTTGTGTCACTTCTAATGTATTTTTAAGTAATAAAGTAATTGTTTACATCGCTTTTGCAAGTTCACACTTTTGTTTTAGGAGAATAGTATATTTTCAAAAATAAACAAAAACAATACTGCAGTGATAGTTATCATTGTCTCTTACAGTTTATTTAAATGTTAGACTTCCTATCTAACATTTTGCTTGGGTGACCATTGGATCATCTTAAGGAACATGTTTCAGGGGATTCAGATACCAAATATAATACAGAAAATCTGGTTTGTGAAAGAATTCCAGTAAGTTTAGGGCCAGATTGTCATTCATACCAGAAATGAAAAGGCTTTATATATATACTATTGTTATGTAAACTATATTATGAGTTGCCTCATTCCCGCATCTCTCCTCCTCTACTCGACTCTCTCAGCCTGAGTCGATACATAGCCCAGCTCCATCTCCTGCTGTGGAGAAACGCACTGCAGCTTTCACATGCATGCCAAATCGCGCACGCCAGGTAATCCATCTCTTTCCTTTTGCCTCCTCCATCTCTGTTGCATCACCCATCCATCACATGCAATCTTGGTCGTATTATCTCCCCTGTCTCCTCTTTCTTTTTGTGTCTCACATTGCTTAGCCAACTCCCTCCTCTTTAGTTCTGCATTTGACATACAAATAATGTTTGCTCTTATGTATATGAAGTAGTCTTGGAAGTTTTCCCTGGAGAGAAACAAAAGAGGGAAGGTGTGTTTTCATCTGGCGTCATGCAGCTCTGTTCTGTTGCAAAATAATGCGTCGGTAACTGAGAGTTCAGGCACAATGATGATGAAATGCCATTGTTACATTATTTATAGACACTCAGCTGTACAGTTTCAGGGTTGCCAACTTTCTCGCAAGAGATTTCTCAAATATGAGTCAAGAAGCGAGTCTTAAACACAGTAAATCTTTTGGGAAGTGGAGGGTGTGTTACATGTCAGATAAAGTAGTACTCAGCAAAAGCTGTGGGTTGCTTTTTTATATGATGTTCAGGTTATCAGCAAAAAATACTAATTGTTGACATAAAACAATGAGTGTGAGGGCTTATTTATAATAAATATACAATCTATATTGTGCCAATGTAGAGTCAAAGCACTTCATATCAAAAAAATAAATACATCCAGTTGTTTAGAATCCAATCTAATTGTTTCAATGCTAGACAGCCAGATAGTTAGAGGCATTGTCAAATTTATTTGATCATAAAATGCCATCTGATAAAATGTTGGCTATCATAAAATGGCAGGTCAATTGCACTGAGTCACTGACTTTGGACATCCTGAGCAATCATGTGGTGACAGTGGAGAGACAAACTCCTTTTTTTTACTTTTTTAGAAACTTTCAGCGGAAGACTTCTTTCCACCTTATGTTGGAAAGAAGAAGAACAATCGAGAAGACATTTAGTGACACTGCACCTTTAGAATAAGAAGCAGTTAGCGATTGGGTGGATGTCTTTGTCACCAAGTAATGTAGCACAACTAAATAGTTGTGTAAGTGGGAAACTATAGAAGGACCTTCCAAAAAAGTCTTGCCGCTTCAAAGACATTTTTGGTCATAAATTTAACAAAAGTATATTATTTTTTTTTTATTTCACAAAAAAAGCTAAATAAAATTAAGTCAGTATTTTTCCAAATGCCCTGATTGTTTTAAATATTTTACTCATTGAAAAGTGTAAGTAGAGGGAATCCATTTTCTGATTGCATTTGCCTTCAGATGAAACAAACAATGTCACTGTTTCTTAACAGTGTTCTATTTTCTGCTTCTGTTTTATTTTTCACAAAATGAGGCAAAGTTGTGGTTCACAAAATCATCCAAGACTTTCTATGATTGTTAAAAAGACAAATCAAGAATTCTCCATGTTTCATCAGAGGCGCTTTTATTAAGTGGTTTGAGCCCCCAAAAAGCATTTAATTGCTAAAAATGTCTGAAGTGGTCCAATTGTTCGTGGAAAACCCCCGCTGCCATACATGAAAATTGATATTTAAACATATTTTGCTTAACCTCTTTGTGTTTTCAAGTTTGTTTTTTCATATTTTGCACTGCATATAATTTTTATTTGGTTGCATCAAACAAAAAGAGGATGTAAGGTTTAAGGCTTTTACTGAAAATGATTGCTATCTTGGCTTGCCTACATTTTTGAAAAGTATTTCTACACAAAGCACTGTTTTCTAACTTGACAAAAAAAAAAAAAAAAAAAAAAATATATATATATATATATATATATATATATATATATATATATATATTTTTTTTTTTTTCTGCTAAACAAGCCTTCCGTCAGCTGTGTTTGTGTTCAACTGAAATGCAAGGTTAAATTTCTTCTGCAAGATGAAACAATAATTTTTTTTACCAAAGGCCAGCAAATAATAGAGAAAAACAAACATACAAAAGGTGATGGGGAGAAAAACTATGTATTGTTAATAAAAGAAATATCTCTGCAGGAAAACACAAATATCCCTCAGAGCTAGAAACTTTCTGCAAGAAGAATGGATGAAAAACTCCCCAAGTGTTATTATTCATTTTCATTTTCAAGTTGATCAAATTTTCTTTGCATTATCTGTGTACACCAGTATGTGGCAATTCAGTCATTTTAGAATGCTGTTCGAGATTCCAGCTGTAATTTTTCCATCCTAAATGTATAGGATCCTCCACCTTGTTTTTAACAGCCTTGATAGAAAAACAAATTCCAACAAAATCCCTTGTGGCAAAATTATTTACAGATTATTTTCAGATTTCTGTTGAAAATGTTTTATTCATCCTATTTCCATAGTTAACCTCCAGGGTCCTGTGGGGTGCTGAAACTTATACATATGCATGTTTCTGGATGTTGGGAGAAAAGGGTGTGGTAAACCTTATGGACTGTGGGATGAAAATGCCTGTTGGATTTCAATTTTATTTTATTGTTATTGAGTTGGCAACCTTAAAAATGTAAAATGGTAATAAAACAAATTTTAAATTAATTGTACCAATTCTGCCAGTACAATTGGTCAAATTCCCAGGTAGAAGTTTGACAGGATTTAGCTGGTTAAATTATGAGTGAAATATAATTTCACCCTGGAAAAGAAGCTGTTTAAGTGCATCATTAAAAGGCCAAAATTAATGACATTCGTGGCCCTGATGACCAAAATACAAGCAATAATTTGTGCTGCTTTTTGTTGGAAAAAAAAAATCTTTCCAGTCACTTAATGAAAGTCATTGAGTTCTACTAAAAACTGTAATTTATTACCCTTGGCTGTAATAAAGTAAATGCAGATCATTCAGGGACCAGTTGTGCCGTGTAAAATCCAGCCTATCTGTTCAACCTTGAGCTCTTTCCTCATAAGAAGACACTTCTTTTGTGAGCAATAAATAATCTCAAGGTATCCTGCAGGTACCTTTAAACATTCTGTTAAAGTGTTTCAGACAAAGTGGCCCCTCTCCAGTTTTTTTTTTTTTTTAATGTTAAGGAAATTACTTTTATCAAGAAACCGTTCATTTTAATGGTTACTAATTCAAATTAAGCCTCTTTGTGCTCATGTACGTCCTCTTTGTTCTTCTTCCTTCCAGCTTTTGATTGGATTCTGTCATTAAGTCAAAGCCATCCCATTAAAGTGTCATGTTGTCAGCTTGTCCGTCTTGTGTTGCTTTTTAGAAGCCGCCCCTGCCCTTTCTGCAGCTAAATAGCCACCGTGACTTCAGCCTTTGCAGCACTAATCAAAGCTTCTTAGCGCCTGCCCTCCCTCAGGTTAGAAAGCCACTCTGTGTCTGTGTCCACTTTCCACTTGACCTTCAGTTCTGTTCTGACTTGGGAAATCAATGTTAACAAGCTGCACATTCGGAATAAAAAAGTGTAGTAAAGAAGAAAAAATATACATGAGTGTTTTGAGGTTTAGCACAGTAGAGCACTTTTACTGAGGAAAATATCAGAAAGACAAATATTTTATTTTTTCTTAATTTTTGACTCCTCCAGTCAGAAGAGAACATATTTAAACAAGTTCATTTCTTATTTTCATTTGCAAGTTAACCAGTTTTTCTTCCTGGTTTCATCAAACAAAAGATCAAATAATATTTGAGCTTTTTCTTTTCCTCCTGACTCCCATGTTTGATAGGTAGTTTGGTTTTTTATTACACCTAAAACATTATTATGACAGGCCTGGAGTCTGTATGAGAAAGACAACTTGCTTTGAGAGATGGCCAAAAAAGATTTGTACTGACCTTAAAGTAACTTTGTTTTAGGTTTTCAAATTCTGGAGTCTTTTTAAGCCTGATAAAATGTAGAAATACAAGCAAAGTATTTAAATTTTTATTACAGTGCTATGAAAAACATTTTGTCACAGTGGTTATGTTCAGATTGTAAAGCAAATGTTAACATCATAAACTCCAGTAAATGCAAAATATCACACCTTCAACCACTATTTTTGTTCAAAATGTCAGAAGCATCTCACATTGGTCCTTTCCTACATATGATTTTGTGCTAAGCTCCAGATTTTACCATAGTGTCTTTCCTCGCAGCTGCTCTATTATACTCTCCTTAACTCACTACTGACATTTGAGTTGATATCATGAATTTGCTCTCCCTTTAAAGTCTCTTTGCATGCTATCTCCTGCAGAGTAGAGTGATTTACCTTCTCGTCTGTCTTTAAAGCAACCACCATTGATAACAGACTCTGTCGAGGAGAGAGCCGTGCCGAGTTTCAGCCAGGACAAGGTTGGTATTCCAGCCGCTGCGCAGTGATATGTCGTCTCCAACGGCAAAGAGTGAATGAACAAGCACCAGTACACATCTGTTCATACATGTTTGTTATTGTCCCATACGTGTTGTCCTCTAAAGTTGTTGCCCTTGTTTTCTTCTCTGTAGGATGGTGACAGTCACAGTAGACTTTTTCTCCGCCTCTCCCCAACTAACCCTTTCACTCCTACCCCGTTTAAGGTTTGTGCGTCTTTGTGTTGTGCCTTCCACCTCTCACCTCTGTGAATACTTGGACAGATACTTTCACCTGCCGCAGTGAGTTGCGTGTATTTATGTGCAACAATCTGTTCATGCATTCACACTGTCTAACTCCTCCTCTCTCTTTCTGACCTCCTTTTTGTAAAATCAACATTTGTCCTTCTCTTTAGATTTTGCATTTTGCGTTTAGTTGCTTATTTTAATCACTCAGTACTTTATTACGACAGCTTCAATGTAATTTACTTGGGAATCATATTAATTGCTAATGGGTTTTTTGATAAGGTAAGTAGAAATATCTGTTAAATTTTCTGCACAAATTTATGGAAAAAATTGTCTCTCAATGTGCACGTTTTGCACATTAGTGTAATCAAGTTTGGCTTGAATGAGCTAAATAGTCTAATGCTGGTTCATAACTCCAGGGTTCCTATGCAAAGTCTGAAAAAAAAGTGTTTAGATTTCCATGTCTGGATAAATATGGAAAAAAAAAATTAAAATTTCCTTTTTTTTTTTCTTTTTTGCACCAAAGTCCAATAATTCTCAGTAAATGGAGTGGTTTCACATCTGTTTATATTTTCTTGAATTTGCCTGATCACACATGAATTTAAAATTTATATCCATCAGTATATATAGTTTTTTCTAATATTGACATAATTCATACTCATTCAAGAAAGAAAGTACTGGCTATTTTACTTGATGTTTTGTCTCTAAAACTGTAAATTCATTTTTAACTGGATTTCTCAACCTGCAGAACTAACTGACTAACCAAATAGAGAAACCAAACTGTAGTTTATTACAGTATTTTGAACCAGACTGGAAAATAAATCTGGTTCCATTTATAATATGTGAACCCAATAGAGATTTCACTCTGTTCATAACATACCAGCTCAGTTTTATGTCCAAAATGAGATAGGAGACGTATAAACTTACTCAATTCTCCCATGGCATTCTCAAAATAAAAGATGTTCTTGTCTCATCATGTTAAAGGGCCATTAGCCCTTTAACATGATGTTTTACCATTCAGCATTGTTGTTTGACTTTTGTCAATTTTTGCATTGAGTTTAGTTTATTTAGATACCACCATTTTGCAATAAATATTGTCCTAGCATACTTTACAAAAAAATATATATATATATTTTTTAATCCAATCATACAGAGTAATTCAAAATTCTTGCCATAATCTCCAATTCAATACTAGTTATCAAGACATATTGTCAAGGGCATGTTTTGATTTTTAATTAAACTGAAAATCGCATCATGTCATTTATACATTTGTTGAATCTGCAGATAAAGGACCATCTACGATTCAACCAGGTTCAAAGTGAATGCTTTGTCCTTAAATGTTCAGATTTTCTTTTGAAAATATCAAAATGTAAGTCTTAAAAACTGTAATTATGAAATTAAAAATGTGTAGGAACCCTGCTAACGCTTTGAAAACGTGTCATTCATTTTCTGCCTGAAACTAACCTGAATCAAAGCCAGGCATATAACTCGTCGTTGATGACATCAACTGCTCTTATATGCCTTTGCGTCTTTGTAAGACAGCTGATTAAAAACTCAAACGCAGAGATAAAACGTCCAATCTCTACTTTATCTATTACTAATGAACTCTCCCTGCCTCCCCCTCCTGTGGCGTGACAGCCGGCGAAGCGTGAAGCGCCAAAGGCATCTCCCACCGGCTCCATCCTCCCCCTGCCAGTGGTGCCCCATGTGGGAGAGAGCGATACAGACAAGCTCGCTGATATTCCTGAAAGACCTGCAGAAACGGTTGAGCAGAGCAGGGAGGAGGAGGAGGAAGAGGAGGACGAGTTTGGATACAGTTGGCGTGAGTTCAGTTTTCAGAAAACACAATTTATACTATATTAAATCCTAAAAGTATACATGCTGATAATAAAATTATTGCTTTTTCTAGTGAAAATGAGACTTAAATTAATAGTTTAATAAGTTTTCCGCCTTTGTTGTAATGTCATACACCAAAGTGTACTCAACTGAAAATGTTGAGTGGTGTAGCTCAAATGCCGATTTGAAAGGTGAATATTTGTGCACAACAATACATCAGAATCAACAGAGAATGACTTCACCTTGAGACAATTGTTTGGGATTACCTTGCCAGAGTCCAAAACAGAAAATTTGCAGGTTCACAAAGAACAATATAAGAAAAAAACTTATTAAAGGGGTTTCAACAATGATTGACAACAAAAGATGTCAACATGTGTTATTTTTATCAATGAGTGTGACTGATTTATATTTCAATCACATTAAAATGATTACTTTGCAGCTTAGTGCAACTGCGCCAAAGTACCATTAGAGGTCAGCCTTGCGACATGTTAGTCAAACCACAGATGCTGAGCTTTAGGGTGAATTTAAAACTTAAGAGAAGACTGTTGGCACTGGGGACAAACATCCAACTTACAAACACCTGAGACTGTGGACAGCATCTGTGTGTCAATGCTTGTGTGTGTTTGGTGGGAGATAGGCAGACGCTTATCCTGTGGGAATAAGATTGATGAGGTTGGGCCTGGGGAGGTGAGTGGTGGAGATTAGCACAGGGCTGATGGTTTAACAGTGGCAGGGAGTCCAGAACAACAGAAGCCAGTTGAACCAAGAGGCTATCTAACACACCAGAGACACAAGAGAAGAAGAGGAGAGACCCAAGATTGGAGCTTAGATAGAGGATGAAACAAAAGTCTCATTTGTTGGCAAAATCTTGAAAACTTGTGAGCAATTCTATTTGAGCTAATGAGGTTCAGGACAGAGCTGCCACTGGCAGGAGTCACAGACAGCTTACAACATCTTCTGCCTCTTACAGAGAACATAATCCAGCGCTATGGCAGCCTTCCCGGGGTCCTACACATGATTGAGCTGGAGAAAGGCAAGACGGGCCTGGGTCTCAGCCTGGCAGGGAACAGGGACCGCTCCCGCATGAGTGTGTTCGTGGTGGGAATAGACCCCAACGGAGCAGCTGGCAGGGATGAACGGATGGGTGTGGGGGATGAGTTACTGGAAGTAAGATCTCTTACTATTTGAAAGTCAGAGTTCTGTACTATTTAAAGTGATGTATAGATGTTTTAACTCACACAAGTGTCTTTAGGACTGTGACTTGAAAGCTGTTCATATCCATGTAACATTTTACACATTTTCATGACCACAAAGTTTATGCTATTGAAATTTATATAAATCAACCAGCAAATATCAACCCTTAATCGTGAAGAGGATGGAAAATTAAAAAAATCTAAAATTGTAGCATTCTTTTATATTTAGAGACTCACGTGAGTCAGTACTTTGTAGACACAGCTTTTCCAGAATTAGTTGTATAGGGTTACAGATTCTCAATTTGATTTAGCCCTGGACTTTGACTGGGACATTCTAACATATCACAATGCTTTTAGATCATTTCATTGTACCTCTGGTTGTATGTTAAGGGTCAATGTCCTTCTGTCCAAATCAAATGTTAGGTTGACAGACAGAGACGACCTGTATTTACTTCAATTGAATCCATTTTTTCTACAGACTTTCACTCCTTCTCTGCTGAAGAAACCCCTCTTTACAGCATGAGGATAACCACCATTATACCTACATTCTTTGACGCAAATTCCTAGCAATACTTTTTAAAACTCTCTTTCAACAATGGTTTTCTTTTTGCCACTCTTCTATTAAGGCCATATTTATGGAGTTGTCCTGCTGACTGGTTCTCTCTCCTGAGCTTTTTCTTAATAAAGTTCTCCTTGCCCTGACCTGTCAGTGATACTTTTCCCATTTTCAGATGATGGATTAAACTGTGCTCAATGAGTTGTTCGAAGCCCTTATTGTTTCATAACCTAACTCTGCTTTGAACTTCTCCACAACTTTATCTCTAAAGTCTGTCTATTGTGTTCCTTGGTCTTCATGATGCTGTTTGTTTTTTAATGTTTTGCACACCGATGGTCTCTTTAAGTATTCAGTAAGAATAAAGGAGGCTAAATACAAATATGTGACACACTTTTCAGATTATTAGTAAAGTATGTTATAAACCATGGACCATTTTCTTTTCACTTCACAATCATGTACTATTTTCTGCTGGTCTGTAACATTAGTTGCAATAAAAACACTGAAGTTCTGGGTTAAAATGTAACAGAATGTGACAAAGTTTAACCAGAAAACCATGACACATGTCATGTGCTTTCCAAAACCCAGATTTACTTAGGATTTTTCAGGCGCTTGTGATCAACATTTCTTTGCCATTCTGAACATGCTTCAATTTTTTATTATTGTTATTATTATTTTTTACTTTAAGTTCACTGTCACACTTGTCTTTTTGTTCTTTTAGATCAACGGACAAGTTCTCTATGGCCAAAGTCATCAGAACGCATCGTCCATTATCAAGAGCTCTCCATCCAAAGTCAAAATCATCTTCATCAGGTTGAAAACCATTACCATTGTGTAATATCATTTTGATGATTATTATCAATATTATGAAATAGAGAGTGTTAGAATTACTTGTCAGACATTAAGTGTAATGTTTTGTAGGAGTCGCTAGAGGGAGCTGTTGTCATTTATTCAAAGTGAAGCTTTACTTTTTGACATTCTAAGTAAATCTAACAGGATCATTGGTTTGAAAATATTTAATGTTGTGTTAGTATTATGTTTATTATTTCTTTATCTATATAAAATAACATGGTATTGCTTTACTGGCTACATTATAGTTGAAATAGATATTATACAGTATTCAATATAACATAATCTCACACATGCTGTAAGTGGGATTAGGCTGAAAAGCAGTTTGTCCTCAAGTCCCACAGTTTTTATTTCACATAGCAATTATGTTAACTTTCTTTGTTTCAAATGTTCTGAAATCATAGTCTTTCTTGTTCATTTTGTACATTTATGGGTGGTTGGATATGGAGTGGTATAGGAATTACCAACATATTTCCAGACATTGGTTTTTCCCCCTGACTAATCCAGATCTGGGAAATACATAAACAAAGTTCCAAATATTTTCCAAATTGTGTCGAAACCCCTTTTAAATATCCTTATAAAAATCCATGTTTGCAGACATCAGCTTATTCATAAATGTCTGATTTTACTACCTCCAAATGATTGCTGTCTTGGAGCAGTAGAGTTTCAGCTGCCACATCTCTGACAGACTCATTTGACCCCTGACCCAGGTTTAGTCTTCACCAGGATCGTAGTACTTAACCTCCCACTTAACTCACATCCCCGTCCTGGTCCCCTGCAGACAGACACACTGTGATCAGCTTGAGTAAATTACCGTTCAGCTGTCCAGAGGCAGAAGAGCAGCGATTTATGTGAGTTATGACTCTGTGAAAACAGGAACACAGAGGCGCTGAACCAGATGGCCGTGGGACCTGTGAGAGAGCAAGAGGGAGACACGGCGGAGTCTCAAACTGAGGTACCAGTCAGTACACATACCAGTCAATACACATAAAATACTCCTGACACCAACATCATGCAGCTATTACAGCGCAACGCTCGAGCTGCTTCACCATTTACAACAATTATGACTCAGTTTTTATTCCTATGTGTGGTCTTGGAATTTCCAGCGTCAAGCGAGTCTTACGGCACCCTAACAACAAAAACCACTCGCTGTTTTTAGGTTTCAATCACACAAGACTGAATTTCCAGCTGCTGTCTTTTCCTATAAATGTGCCATTTTTTTCACAGCCAAAAACATCTCCCGCTAACGACAATGACACTTCAAAACATCACGTCATAAAGGTGGAGGTGAGACAAAATGCACTACTGTTCAATTCAATAATCACCAATGAGAGGAAGAACGTAACGAGAAAGGCGCGAGCCTACAGCGTAAGACAAAACGAAGCCAGAGTAGACAGAAGTATTCAAGCTTGATGAGCTGAAAAACTGGAGACAAGTAGAAGGAAAATTGTGAAGTAAAAAAATCCTGTAGTGAATAGAAGAAAAGGCATTCCATGTTAAAGGAATTCAAGGGTTCGATTAGCTCATACAAAGATGAAAGGAACGGCTTTTTATCTCTTGTAGTGTGTCCTAATGGAAAGCTTTTTAAAGGTCGTTGTTTGATCTTTTCAGCATCACAGCTTTAAAATGTCAGATATCTATAGGAGATCCCTACATTCATAAACAAACAATGAAGAATAGTACAAAATCAACCTCTCCTATAGATAATTTATTTAAGAACATGAAAGCTGTAGAGGAAGTGAGAATGATCCGAGGTGAAGTTTGAGATAATTATACCCTTTGAGGGAGCACTTGTCAGTCATACCAGTTTTCGTTTACAAATCGTTGCTTCAAAGGAAAGCAGAAAAGAAACTAATATTTAAGCATTTGCTGGAAAGGACCACATAGCAGCAAAATAAAGAGTTTATCCAAGCGAAGCTTCTACACAAAGCCCTACAGGTCAAATGGACTGAACTTATATAGCACCTTTCTAGTTGCATTGACCAAATAACTACATGTCCTTTCCACCCAGCTGCACTCTCAAATACATTCATTAATATGCAGACGTATTAATGAATGTGTCAGATGCATATTGGTATGTGACAGAGAGGAAGCAATAATCATACCTGTGACATTGCCATTGCAAGATGACTACAGTACTCTTCCCTTTGCGTCACATTTGTCCACAACCTTATCTGTAGTTGAATCACTTTTTTATGGACATTAAGATGTAAACATTTACAAATGAGGAGATGACTACTTATTGGGATGTCCTAACTGTTTTATGAAGAAAAATTATTTTATTTTACTGTAGCTGCAAAGTTTTTTGTCTGCTGCATTTTTCTATGAATGTTTCAATAGGTGGCTTAATGAATGACTTCCTTTTAAAGTTTGGTGTGTGGATTATCTCTGTCTTTCCAACTTTTACCTTCATAGATATTCTATTTACAGGAGGTCCTCTCTAAACTCTGAACTAATTGTGCATTTTGGTTCTCCGACAGGAGGACGGCATTGCGTTTGTAGAAGGGAACACAGAGTCTGGCGTTGAGATTCAGAGCATATCCGAAGCAACCGAACGCACAGGAAATGTATAAAGAGCTTTCAACATCAACTAAAAAAAATATATCCACTGTGTGAAGGTTTTGCGAATCATATTTTCTACTTTATTACAAGGACGGCTGCATGAAACCAGGGGACAGACTGTTGGCTGTGAATGGGGAATCAGTTCTTGGATACACAGTTGAAAAGGTCTGCTCTGTTGTTGCAAATAAAGTTGAATCTGTGTCTCTGTAACAGAAGCAGTCTAATTTTTTAAATGGCTCTCAGGTGAATTCTTTATTGAGAAAGGCCAAAGGTCCAGTGAAGCTCACATTTGTAACAAATGAGACGGTGTCCTCCTACCCGACTTCCCAGTCGGCTTGTCAGGACATCGCTACCTCAGATGGAGGACACACCATCTCACCCAGCATGCCTAGCACCACGCCGAGTACTTTAAGTCAGCCAGAAGCAGAGACAAACACTGGTGAGTTAATATATTCACACCTCAGATTTACATCCCATATTTAACTGCCTCTCACTTCCTTTGCTCGCTCCGCTTCAGGCCCAAGTCGCTCTTCCACCCCTTCCACGCTGGCCTGCGACCCGGCAACCTGCCCCATCATCCCCGGCTGCGAGACCACCATTGAAATCTCCAAAGGCTGCACCGGACTGGGCCTGAGCATCGTGGGGGGCTGCGACACGCTGCTGGTAGGAAACAGTGTGTGAAATGAGGCTTGCCCTTTACTCTTAACACGACTCTTACTGTCATGCATCATGTCCACACCAACAAGGGGAGTCGAGGCTTCACTAGCTTGTAAGAAAAATAAACTGTAAATGTACTTGGTCAGCTCCCACCCATGGCGCCACCAGTATATCTCAGGTCTGAAATAGCCGTGGCGGCTGAGGAATGTAGGAAATGATGTTGTCACAGCCGTTCCTCCTCCTCCTGCCGTCGTCCTCTCAGTTCGTCCATTCTGTCTGCTCAGTCAGGCTTGGGGAGCCGCTTGCTCTTTGTTAGTTCTTCGGCCGCAGCAGACAATGTTCAACTCAGGAATTTAACAATCACTCTGGACCCCACAGGAACAAGTGCGCTAAAACACCAAAACTCTGACTCTAGTTGTTCCCCCCAAAAAATGCTTTTTATTTTAATGTATTGTCGTATAAGGAATATTAATTATTTTGTGAAGCATAGTTACAAACTGTTAAATGTTCCTCTTTTCTCCTGCCTTTTGGTCATCCTCCTTTTTTTCCCCCTCTCTCTTTCTGCTCTCAGGGAGCCATCATCATCCACGAAGTGTATGAAGAAGGAGCAGCCTCCAAAGATGGCAGACTTTGGGCAGGAGATCAAATACTAGAGGTTTTTTGTAAAAATAATAAGCTTTTCTGACCCAGATAATAAAAAGACCAAACAGATTCTAAGGAGACGTAGCAAAGACTTTGGCTTTCTCAATTTAAGGATCAACTTGTTTCCGCATGGCACATCTGAGAAATAGAAGTAGCTTCTTAGCGAGATTGAAAACTCAAGTTAAACTTAAAAGAAGGAGTAGGAGTGTTTTATGTCAACTTAAGTATAAGACTCGATGTGGACGTGCCCTCCCTCTGACCTCCTGCTTTGTCACAGAGGGGCGGAGCTCATGATTGCAGTTATTGTAGCGCAGTCAGTAGACCTAAATTGAAAGACACACACACATCATTATGACTTAATTGCCCCCTGCTATTCTCTTCGGCCTGTGAGCCAAGCTGCTGTGTTTATAAAATAAGGTCAAAAGTAAGAAAAGAAAAAAGTTTCCCAGTTAGCTGCTCTGGGAAAATTCCTTGCATGTCCACGGGGAAAGCTAATGTGGTATTTCCCCCTTTAATGTGGTGATAAACTCAAGTCCTGGACGTCGCTTGTTAAAGTGACCGCTGGTCTGTGGGAAGGCTTCCCTGCGGCTACTTTCTATCCCTGTGACATCAGCCTGTTATTTCAGTCATCCACTTTCCAAACATCTCAGCATTTTTGAAGCAGTTAAAAAAAATTGGTTCAGCGTTAAATTAGAATATTAGTTCTTTTCATAGTACCTCGCTGCAATTACTTTTTATCCATAAAGAGGAGAAAGAGGCTGTGGTGTTCTTGCTGTTTAGCTATACAGGAAACTTGCATGCAGGGTTTTGAATTAATAATTTTCCCCACACTTCTCAGGTGAACAGCATTGACCTGCGAGCAGCCAGCCATGATGAAGCCATCAACGTGCTGCGGCAGACGCCCCAGAGGGTTCGGCTGACGGTCTACCGGGATGAAGCCCAATACAAGGAGGAGGAGCTGTGGGACTCCTTCACTGTGGAGCTGCACAAGAAGCCGGGCCAGGATCTGGGTCTGAGCATCGTAGGGAGGAGGTGAGACAGATTTGTTAGTGTCAGCTTTTCTGCATAATGTCCTCTGAAAAGCAAGAAAGAGCTTGTGGGTGCATCTCCATGCATTTATTTAAGTCACCCGATTTAACAGCATGTATTTTATTCAGATTCATTACGGACAGTAATATATTTTTTAAGTGTTTCTTTCTGTAATGTTGATCATCATATTGAATAAGATTAATAAAATCAGGATTTCCACTTCATCAAAATTGTGGTCTAAATAATAACAAAGGCAGCCTAGCAAACTTGCTTGTTTGGTAATATGTTGACACAGATGTGTAGTGCTATTAATTAGACCAATGGAATCTATATGAAAATATAAAAATTATTAGTAATGGTCATTGTTTCATTTTTTTTCCAATGCAGATCGCGGAATCACAGGTAAACTCATTTATCAGTAGCAGTTATGAAAATAGAGCATCAAAATAAGGTTTCAATTTGCACAACAGTTTTCTCTTATCTTTGGGCTTCATGTGCCATTATAGCCTTGAAATTGTAATAGTTGCCTCCTTTTAAGTTATTTTACAATGAGATTTTTGCGGGGTTTAAGTAGACAGTAGAATAAACACTTAGCACCAGACAGAATTTCTGTTTACGGCATTAATGTGAACAACAGCAGTTGTGACCTCAGTGAACGAGCAAATCAGCAATTCTGTGTCGTCTCTCTAGATTGTCAGATAAAAGCCCTAAAATGTCAACGCCTGCTGGTGTTTGAACCTGAGCCAAAAAGCTCTGCATGACAACATACTGAGTTTGCTTCTCGACTGGGAGTTTGCTTTCAGGACTGCAGATGGAAACACTAGAGTGAAATAACAAAAATGTGATTATTATTGTTACACTCGAGTGAAATTTCTGTATATGGCCTGGTTTTAACAGTTTCAATTGTTTTAGACTTTATTTTTCTGATTGCAGATATTAGGAAGATTCAACAAGAACATCTTTCCTTGTCTTTCCCATTTTGAAGAGTTAATGGTGCTCAGTGTGTCATGTCATGTAGAAAGGCAATGTTTATCATTAAGCATTCTTTATTACTTGATCATGATTATAAAAGTTTGCAAGTGCAAATTACAAAAGTGCTTCAGATGGATTTTTCAGGAGGTTTTAGTGATGTTACATGTGGAATCAGTGATTTAGTTAAAACTGTTATTCCTTCATGTGGGATCTTTGTCCCCAGAGTATAAATAAATGTTCTCAAATAAAAATAAAATATTTTTTGCTACAATAAGAGTTTAACTAATACATTAGTCACTGGTCCCTTCATGTTTGTCCTTCCTTTCACTTTTCTCTATAGTCTGATTTTTTTTTTCCATGTTCCACCTTGAGCTCTTTAAAATCTTGATTTTTTTAAAAAATTTATCTTAAAATAAAGCATATCTGGAATCAAAAGTCTAGAAAACTCTCTAAGGCCACAGGAATACTGAAAGGATAAAAAGTAGATGGAACCTTCAGTGTGCATGTGTGCAAATATTTCCTTTTACATCCCAAATGCTTCTTCTTTCATTTATTTATTTTTTTCTTTTTACCTATCCCAGTGTTGCTGTGTGCTGTGTTTTGTCCAACAAGACTACAGAGATGAAAGAACCACCCAGCAGTTTTATGCTTTTGATATACCTGTACATTGGTATTTCTTTCCCAGTGGTTCTGCAGTACATGTGCAAAAAAAAAAAAAGAAAAAAAAGAACTGCTGAAAAGAATAAAAATTGCTTAGATAACCTGAAACCCTGTGGGCCGAAAGGAAAAGTGCAAGCCAGCAGTTAGTGGTGTAGGAGCTGCGACAGCCAAGTGTCTCTGGCCCTGGATATTGAGTTGAATTGAGCTGCTTTGCTTCGTAGCTTCCGTTTCTGTTTGTCTTCATCCACGTGGAGATTGGCACCTTCAAAATGCGGTCTGCAGTAGCAGTGTCCTCTTTTTCCTGCTCTTGTACTAAAACACACAGTAGCCTGAGAGAACAAATGACGGTGAAAGGACACAGGGTACTATTTCATTCAACAAATAAACACCGTTTCTGTCCTGTTTCCCGGACAGGAATGACACGGGAGTGTTTGTGTCCGACATTGTTAAAGGAGGTCTGGTGGAGGTGGACGGCCGACTGATGCAGGGCGACCAGATTCTGTCGGTTAACAGCGAGGACGTCCGGTCAGCCACTCAGGAGGCCGTGGCTGCGCTGCTCAAGGTGCTTGAACTCATGCTGCTCATCAGGTTACAGAGACCAACAAGAGGGCTGTCAACTCTGCAGAAAATCTACATTAAAAAATAATGAGGTGTACTGTGTTCCAGTGCTGCGTTGGGCCAATAAAGATGGAAGTTGGGAGGTTTAAGGCCGGTCCATTTCACTCCGAGAGACGGCTTTCCCAAAGTAGTCAGGTGGTGCAACGCTGGCCAAACTCGAATTTTTATGTAGTTTTTCTAAAATCTGAACTCTGAACACCTTCTCTTGTTAGATGAGCGAAACTGGCAGCTCCAAGCTGTCTGGTTCTGAATCAGGGAACCCCTCGAGTGATTCTGACGTACCAAGCAAAAATCAAGAGTGTAAGTAAACTAAGACTTCAGCGACTGAAATAAGAATCTTATCAGATCAGTCAGTTATTTTGGTCAGAAGTACTCGTAACCTTTAACAAATCTCAAACTTCATTGAGCTTTTTGGAATTTTTTTTTTTCTGAAAGAACAACACAAATTTGAGCATAAATGAAACCAAAATTAAACTGGTTGCTCTAAATGGAAGATACAATGCATGCACGTTATTAACAACATGCAATCATGATTGTATGCAATGCAATCCAATAAGACTACGACCTGAAGACCATGACCTTAAACATACAGCAAAAGCCACAATGCAATGGTTTACTTCGAAAAATAAAAGTGCAAATCTAAATCCAGTTGATAAATCATGGCACATTTATGGCAAGACATGAATGTTCAGACATTCTCCATCCAATATTGAGTTTCGACTATTTGGCAGAGAAGAGTAGAGGGGAATGGCAGTCAAAGGGGTTGACTGCACTTTTTAAATTTCTTTCTTTTATAAGGAAGATCCTTCAAGTCTTTTACTCTAATTTGTGACGGTCTTTCACATACATTCCTCATAAAAAACTGGGAAGTTTGTCAGTATACATTTACGAATGCGTTTGTAAAGTAGTGTACCAAAATCCAAAAATGCATTGCATTGTGTTTTGTGACCGATCTTCCAGTTGCAGAGCACCAAGACGTCAGAACGGTTGAGTTCACTAAAGGCCCCGGTGACTCTCTGGGAATCAGCATAGCCGGTGGAGTGGGCAGCCCTCTGGGTGACATACCCATCTTTATCGCCATGATGAATCCCAACGGCCTGGCTGCTCAGACACAGCTCAAGGTAGAAGATTTGCCACATCTTTCCTGATTGTATTGGACCTTCAGTAACATAAGAAATGTGCAGACTCCAAATTATGTTTTTTGTTTCAATACGAGCAATCTCAGCTGTGTGCCACAGTTTTACTCTTTGCCTCTTTGTTTGCGATTCCGAAAACTGTCAAAGGTCAGCGTTTAAGCAGTCGCCGTCTGAGAAACACTGACAATTGTTTCTGTGTTCGACAGAGACCGGGGGAGGACAAAAGCTGTAGCTAACATAGATGATAAATCTCCCACGCTTTCATTTAGAACACAAAGATTCATTGAAGGGAAAAGAGAGAAGCATTTCAGCACAAGTGAAAAATGAGAAGACGAAACAATGAAATTATTTAGCCAACATTAAATTTTAATTTGCTTTTGTGTGGCCTTGAGAAGAGAATGTGCACGTCGTATAATAACAGGTTCAGACGAAGGCACTATAGTGTGACCAAATTGTTGTTTTTGCACAAGCTTTAATGGTGCTAGATCTTTTTGTGAGATTTTTCTGTGGTGTATCAAGATTCAATAATTTCAAATCTCAAAATGATCTTTCCTTTGAGAAATATCAAGAATTTTCAGTGTCTTAAATTTCTAGATTTATCTGAACATTCTGGATAATAACTGAATGGCGTCTTCACTTATTTTTGCCAATAACCACTAAGAAACGAGAAAGAAACCACAATCTCTTCAACTCTTATAACACTATAAAAGCCTAGATTGGAAAAATGTGTGGATTATCTATAGCTGTGCTAAATTTGTTCACGTCTTATTTAGCATTCAGTGATGACTTCATATCGTTGACCATAAATGACTGCGAACTGTTTGTCATCATGGAGAAAAACTTTAATTTGATCCTTTTACTCTATTTATATTTTTTTTCCTCAGATGGGAGACCGAATTGTCAGCATATGCGGCACATCAGCTGAAGGCATGAGCCACTCGCAGGCTGTCGCTCTGCTCAAGAACGCCACGGGAACAATACAGCTGCAGGTGTCCTCAAAACGCACACTCGTTCACTCTTCCTTATGTCCTCCCGCGTCCTCAACGCTGCCTTTGAGACGAGCAGGAGTAGCGCCAACAGAAGCGCCATGAAACCCTAATACATCACAGGACACTACCAGCAGGCTATCAGTATTTATCTCTACAGTAAATCAAGACTGGAACATAACAATGTCGCTTTGTTTGTACGCACGTCTTATCGCACCCGCAGGTGGTAGCAGGTGGCGACACCACCGTGACGGGGCCCACTCAGAAGCAGGATGGGGGTTCTCTGACGCCCAGCTGCATCTTCCAGGATGATATTGGGTATTTGTTTCGTCACAACAGAAAAAACAGAACATTATGTAGTTGCGGAGAATTAAGGGGTAAACTTTCCCTAAATACTTTTCATATCTGTTTTGTTTGTCTTTCCAGCCCGCCTCAGTATAAGACAATCACTCTTGAAAGGGGACCTGATGGACTTGGTTTCAGTATAGTCGGAGGGCACGGCAGCCCCCATGGAGATTTACCTATTTACGTCAAAACAGTGTTTGGAAAGGTAGTTGGAGTCCAGCTGCAACCATTTTCCTTCTCTGAATCAATTTGTTTTTTCTCTTTTCTCAAAGGCCGAAGACTTTGGCAACGTATTCCATTTGCTTTATTGGGACTTGACGTGATGAGACTACTACAAAGTAGTTTTAAAGTAGAATTAAATACTGACGCAGGAGTGGAAATGACAAAGAAAGTGAAGGGACTAATCAGAGGAAATGAGGCACAGCTGAGACAGAACGCAAGCAGGGAGAACAGAAGGAAGGAGACTTATTACACAAAAACAGCCGAACCAGCGATTCCAGAAACTATTTGTCAAGAATGACAACAGTTCATGAGAAAAAAAATATACAAATGCAACACAACACAAGGGTAAACTGAGAAAATAAAGAAAAGGGCATTAATTAAATACAGCAACACCTTTAAAGCAAAAATAAACACAAGAATGAAATGAGTATGGCAAGACCTAAACAGATAAAAATAAAAATAAAACCAACATCCAGGACTGTGACACAATCGGTTGCAATATATTTTCTTTAGTGGTATTCGAGTAAAGGGAAGTGCTTACACTCTTCAGATTGTAATGAAAAAAAAAGATCTTTTATTTTCTTTTTACAATTATGCACTAATGTGGGTTGGTGCATCACATAAAGTCCTTCTAACATATTCGAAGGTTGGTGACGTTAATGTGATACACAGTAAAAAAAAAAAAAAAGTTCAAGAGGTCTGAATACTTTTGAGAGGAACTGTATTTCTGGCTCTCTTTGGATTCAGGGAGCGGCGGCGGAGGACGGCCGTCTGAAGCGGGGAGACCAGATCATGGCTGTGAACGGGCAGAGCCTGGAGGGAGTCACGCATGAAGAAGCCGTCGGCATCCTGAAGAGGACCAAAGGAACCGTAACCCTCACTGTGCTTTCATAGATGACAAACCACAATCAATGTTTTGCTGACCTGCAGAGACCGAGGCTGAATGCACAGTGATCTTGTTACTGAGGTGACCGTGTGCGTCTCCAAGAGTTTAGATAATCACGAAGAAGCTTTTTGTTTACTGTAGGTCTGAACACTGTGGTTCATCGAAGCCTACTGACAGACTGACTAGAGATCACAACAATAAGTATTTTTAATTATGTGAAGCATTCCCTGACACTGGATCAAAGTATGTAAATGCTGCTCTGAAGAAAATTCCTAACGTCTGATTTAAGCACGTTTCAGATTTATTTGTTGAAGTATAGTGCTGCTAGTGCTCGAATCTAGGGTCTTATGACTCTGTATTTGTTTTTGTACTATGCGTCATTACATGTACAGAAACATACATGAACTATTTTTAGAGTCACTTCTGGAAAAAGTGAGTCATCTGAACTTGTGATTATAAGGTTCTTGGTTGCCCAAAAATAAAGTGATCCGGGTTGTAGTTCTGGAGGTCATTGGTGTGTGTTTTGGAGTCTAGGTTGAAAGACAGCATGTCTATTTTATCACTTTAAATGTATTTTAGTACTCTATGTGAACACTGAAATTAAACAATAAAAGTGACCTTTGGCTTTAATCGGTCTCTTTCCCTCTTCCTGCTTATGTTTTTCCTTTTTATGTGTTTCTTTCCCTTCATACTTTTCATCGATGTGTCCTTTCTTGCTTGGTTTTCTTCATTTTTTTAAAAAATTCTTTCACCTGTCCTTCCTTCCTTGTGTCCTTTTTTTGTGGCATTCTACTCTTGTGTCCTTCCTCCCTTCCCACCTTGTTTCCTGTCTTCCATCCTTTGTGATCCCTGACTTTTATTTCCTTCCTTTGATCTTCCTTTTTTTTTTCCAAGTTTCTCATTTTTGCAGATTACATCAGACTGAATCAATACATGTACCCACTGCAAAAGTAGTCACCAAGTACTTCTGGCCAATTTTAATATAAAGAAACAAAAGTGCGTACAGAAAATTCTGGAAAACTGACTATCTGCATTTACCTCCAAGAGATTCAGTAATATCAAGCTATATTACTGAATGAAAAACCATACTTGAGGAATTTGAAATTCAGACTAACCGTCCCAAAGCTGCAGCTGTTTCAGGAAACACCACGACTGCCTGCCTTACATCACCCAGATCAGTTTCCTACCTAGGAGATAAAAGCATTTCACTGCTGACCCAGGTCCAATTTATATCGAAGCCAAATACAGTTAGGGCCAGAAATATTTGGACAGTAACACAATATTTGTGAGTTGGGCTCTGCATGCCACCGCATTGGATTTGAAATGAAACCTCTACAACAGAATTCAAGTGCAGATTGTAACGTTTAATTTAAAGGGTTGAACAAAAATATCTGATAGAAAATGTAGGAATTGTACACATTTGTTTACAAACACTCCACATTTTAGGAGCTCAAAAGTAATTGGACATATAAACATAACCCAAACAAAAAAGTTTTTTCTCAATATTTTGTTGCGAATCCTTTGGAGGCAATCACTGCCTTAAGTCTGGAACCCATGGACATCACCAAACGCTGGGTTTCCTCCTTCTTAATGCTTTGCCAGGCCTTTACAGCCGCAGCCTTCAGGTCTTGCTTGTTAGTGGGTCTTTCCGTCTGAAGTCTGGATTTGAGCAAGTGAAATGCATGCTCAATTGGGTTAAGATCTGGTGATTGACTTGGCCATTGCAGAATATTCCACCTTTTTGCTCTCATGAACTCCTGGGTAGCTTTGGCTGTATGCTTGGGGTCATTATCCATCTGTACTGTGAAGCGCCGTCCGATCAACTTTGCAGCATTTGGCTGAATCTGGGCTGACAGTATATCCCGGTACACTTCAGAATTCATCCGGCTACTCTTGTCTGCTGTTATGTCATCAATAAACACAAGTCACCCAGTGCCATTGAAAGCCATGCATGCCCATGCCATCACGTTGCCTCCACCATGTTTTACAGAGGATGTGGTGTGCCTTGGATCATGTGCCGTTCTCTTTCTTCTCCAAACTTTTTTCTTCCCATCATTCTGGTACAGGTTGATCTTTGTCTCATCTGTCCATAGAATACTTTTCCAGAACTGGGCTGGCTTCTTGAGGTGTTTTTGGGCAAATTTAACTCTGGTCTGTCTATTTTTGGAATTGATGAATGGTTTGCATCTACATGTGAACCCTTTGTATTTGCTTTCATGGAGTCTTCTCTTTACTGTTGACTTAGAGACAGATACACCTACTTCCCTGAGAGTGTTCTGGACCTCAGTTGATGTTGTGAACAGGTTCTTCTTCACCAAAGAAAGTATGCGGCGATCATCCACCGCTGTTGTCTTCCGTGGACGCCCAGGCCTTTTTGAGTTCCCAAGCTCACCAGTCAATTCCTTTTTCCTCAGAATGTACCCGACTGTTGATTTTGCTACTCCAAGCATGTCTGCTATCTCTGTGATGGATTTTTTCCTTTTTTTCAGCCTCAGGATGTTCTGCTTCACCTCAATTGAGAGCTCCTTTGACCGCATGTTGTCTGGTCACAGCAAAAGCTTCCAAATGCAAAACCACACACCTGGAAACAACCCCAGACCTTTTAACTACTTACTTGATTACAGGTTAACGAGGGAAAGGCCTTTTAAGTTACTTGCAGCCTTTGGAGTCCATTGTCCAATTACTTTTGGTCTCTTGAAAAAAGGAGGCTCTGCATTACAGAGCTATGATTCCTAAACCCTTTCTCCGATTTGGATGTGGAAACTCTCATATTGCAGCTGGGAGTGTGCACTTTCAGCCCATACTATATATAAATTGTATTTCTGAACATATTTTTGTCAACAGCTAAAATAACAAAACCTGTGTCACTGTCCAAATATTTCTGGCCCTAACTGTAGATCCAAGTCAGCTTCTACAGTAAGATGAAATGTATATGAGCAAAGATTTAACATCTCATGGTTTTACTTGAGCTGATCCTGCTGTTGCTAGAGACTCGGTGCAGAGCTCTCCATTAAAACATGACACCCCCTTCTGTACACTGACAAGCACAGCTACTGCACAGAAAAAAAAAAAAAGACCTCCCTTTAATGAGCTCTGGGGCGTGTTCGGAGTCTGTGGGTTGTAGTAGACAGACTTTTGTTGTGAAAGTGCGTTTGTTCAGTTTTTTCCTCTCCCCAGTCCCCCAGACTGACTGCAACTCAGCACTCTTACCTGCAGCTGTTGCTGGCCGAAGAACAAGCAAGCTTCCTGTCTGCAGCCAACAGCTGGAGTTTCATTCAAGCACCTGTTGTTATTTTAAAAGTCTCAGGGGGTTCAGAGGTTGCACAGCTAGACTGTAGCAGTAGGAGATCCTGGAAAGCTCGGCTACACAAAGTCTATGGTGTTGCGCAGCAACAGAAGTGTGGTTTTAGTTATTGCTTGGGGCAGTCATTAATAAAACTAGTAAGTTAGATGAAACGTACCAAGTGAGGACACCACTGGTTTATCAAGAAAATAGCAAAAAATAGTCCAGTTATTGTTTAAAATGATGTGGCTGGTAAGGCTTAGGTTTTAAAATATGAATAGAGGAAGGCACAAGTTGTGATACTACACATGTGTTTGGAAAAATACAGACAACTTCTCTCAAGAGTACAAGAGTTTATCAACGACAAAAATTTGACCTAGCAACACTTGAGTCACCAAACTTGCCAAGCTAGAATGATTAAACTAAAACTGCTCAAGATAAATCTGACAAATATCTTAAAAGCTTAAAATTGAACCAATAAAATTATGCAATGATATCACAGTTCAGGGTGTTTATTTGTGAATATTGAGAAACCAAGTTTATTTTGTGATTAATTTTTTGTTAGTCAATATAATTTTAACTGATTGAGATTTTTTTAACCCAAAATGACACCACCTTCCTAAAATAACAACCTAAGTTACTTTTTTGCCCAGAGATGATTTAGGAAAAAAAAAAAAATGTTTGGGGAAAAAAATGACTGATCGATATTTTAGGAAGGTGACAATCTGCTGTTTTCTTCACACAGCAACATCGGAAATACATAAAAAATAAAACATAAAATATCATGGAATGATCTGCTTTAATATCTTACTGTTGATTACTACAAAGAATCCTACTGTGAAATAAACAAACGAGCAAAACATTCAATTTTCTATTGCACACAAAAGCAAAGCTGTCACTGTGTATCCCAAGGTTGATCAAACAAGTGTCTACATACCTCAGAAGCGTACCATGATTAGCTCACAAACAGTCTGAAGAGATAATATCATGCTTGATCGACAGCAAATAAGGGTTTGCTGAACTTCGAGCAAATGAGGACAAATAAGAGCAGTTGGCTTTAAATGTGACAGGCTGCAGGTGAGCTTGATGGGGCTTGAAAACAGTGGATGTCTTTGACATGATGTATTTGGCAATTCTGCAATGACTAGAGGATTTGGCCACAAAACAGTTGATTTTAGAAAATTGATTTCTTAACCATGAAGAGCCACTGTGTCAGTACATGCAGCGTTACTGATGATGCAGTGCAGGGATGAGGGTTGATTCCACTCACCATCGGTAAATAAATGTTGCCATGGCATGACTTGTTGTCTGATGTTTGTTTTTTTATTTTAAGCAGAGAAAGAGAAGCTGCTCAGAGATGATCTGAAAAGATGGAACTAGCATTTTTACACTCTGGGGGGAAAAAACTGTTGGCGACTGCAAAAGAGTTGAGATGAGAACTTCCTAGTTAAAGTCCAGCCTTAGATGTAACTGAAAATCTTAAAAAGTAGCTACTTACCAACCAGCCTGCTTGAGCTTTAGCTGTTTTGCAAAGCAGTGCCGGCAAATATGTCTACCAGAGCAGGTAGACACAATGTAAAGACTTGTAGATGTAACTGCCTCACTGCAAAAAGGGCGAGGAAGCAAATGCATGCCACACTTTCCTGATTTTATTTGTCAAGAAAAAAAAATACTAAGAAACCACCGTTTTCCATCCATCTTGCAATTATGCGTTACTTTGTCTTGGCCTGTCACATAAAATCCCAGTAACATACTGTGAAGTTTGTGGTTGTACTGTGACATAAATGTGGAAAACTTTTAAGAGGTATGGCTCTTTTTTTACAGGGCACATCTCAGTTCCTTTTAGTCTCTCGTGGTGGATTCTCTTCCGCAGCCTGCCCGACGGTTCTCGCTCACATACGCAAGCTACCACACGCAATTAAATTTCCACTGCGGTTTGTGGCGTTAAATTGCTTCTCGATGGACACGCCGCTTCACGCGGAGGCAAGGCTTTCCCTTCAGCGAGCTTCAAAGAGCGCAGCCACTGGATTGAGCGACCCCTGGGGGGCAATCGTTTGACCCGCCTGCAAGGTGACTCTGCAGCCTCCCGGTGTGGCTGTCAAAAAGATTAGTTCATCACGGGAACACACACGCCTTGTCTGAGTCATCACACATTAGCTACTCTTTAACAGTCCTTCCTCTCTCTCTCAAAAAGCAAAAAACAAAGGCATAACTGTAGGCATGCCAGACTGGAGGCTGTCACTATCCATCTGACACAAATATGACAGATTGGGAGGACATTTATCTTAATTAATATCTGGGACGGATGTGTAATTATATGACAAGTACAGACGGGAATGCAGGGAAG